AATGTCTGAATCAAGTCCTAAAGTAGATGTACCTTCACTCTGGCTCCCTAGATGATATTCAGTTAAATTTTTATCAGTTAACCTGTACTTGATATTGCCCATATTCTCCCTCAGCATGTTATTTCTTCTCCTTCTCATCACATTTCTTTCATTGACACCAATATCATGTAAAACCTCTGATAATGCCAATGATATGTTTTCTCTGTAGTCAGCTTCTTGAAACATTCTGTAATATATTAGTAAAAGGAAAAATTGTTTCAGTCAGCAACCAAGTTTATTTTGTCACATACTTCTTCATGTTACTTAACTGACCTTGATGTCCTAGAACAGAACAGAATGGGATAGCCAGTACAGGAAAGCCAATTTGGAAAGTTTACATAATTTTAGGTAGATATCAATAAATAAATTATATTTCATAGATTTTTTTTCCTTTTATCTATTTGTTTCAATATTTTCCTATTTTCATTTCATGAACATTTTGATGTCAGTGTATTAACAGATGAGGGGATGTGTGATTAATTAATTTCTTAATACTGCATGTTAAAGTTAATCCTGGCAAACTATAACTGAATGTTTTTTATCATGGTGGATTTCCTGTCAGTCTATTTTGTGTCACAACTTTTCCAGTATAGATTTATTAAAAAGTTTTTTACTTCCATTTTTTTGTAAAAAAAAAAACAACAACAGCAAAAAAAGAAACAAAAAACAAAAATATTATAAAAAATAAATAAATAACTTATTTATATTTTATCAATAGTAAATTAAACTAGTCCTTTAAAATAGTGAAACATTTTTGATTTCCAGAGTCACATTTATAATATTTTTTTAATCAATACAGCATTATAAGTTATAAATTTGATTAAATTCTGTATAAAAATTAAAATTTAATCATTTTTAATTGTAACTTAAAGCAGAAGCTAAGAAAAGGATACTTGAATTAAGTATAAACATACTGGCATTAAACTCTTACATAATTGATTTTCAATGAAATACTTGTTAAAATATTATTAATTAATAATGCAATAAATGTTGAAATATGTGTACAAAAATAAATCATAAACTTACTTTGAAAAGATGATTTCGTACTATGTCCCGAAAAAAATTATAAAATTATATTATTCACTTTCGCAAGATCGAAAGAGATTTTGCTACTTGTACTTCCTCTGATGATGTGAAGAGGAAAATAACTCGTTTTTTCATCCTACTGTTTTATAAAAAAATTTGATTGTTTCCTCTTTTGACAAAAAAACCCAACATACATGAAACTATAAGGACTATAAGGACTTAACTATCATTGAGGCCCGCATGGAAGAGCGGGAAACTGAATGTGTTAGCCTCATTAAATAAAGTCGTTACATACGTACTTTACTTACTTTACTTTACGTTACTTTACTTCACTTTACTTTTATTTACTTTACTTTATATTACGTTACTTTACGTTATGTTACTTTACTTTACTTTACTGCTTTCTATTTAAGCAATAAAAAAATTATTAAGACAACATATGATTTGAAATTATGTAAAGAATATTGCCTGTATAATCATTCTTTCAGAGATAAATAACTGTATTTTCATCAGAAAACTTAAAGGTATATAAACAAGAGGGCCATCCCATGATGGCCCTGAAATCGCTCACCTGTATATAGGCCCCTGGGGCAGGGCCAATTTTAACCCAGGGGCTTTAATTTGAACAAACTTGGTAGACACCCATTTGAAGATGTTTCATGATAAATATCTAAGCTCTAGCTGTAAGTTTTTTTAAAAGTTTTTACTATACACATATAGGGAAAAACAATGAACCCTCTGGGCGGGGCCAATTTTGTCCCCGGGGCTTTTATTTGGACAAACTTGGTAGTCACTCACTAGAAGATAGTTCATGCTTAATATACTCTAGCTCTTTTGGGTTTTTTAAAAGAAGATTTTTTAAGTTTTTACTATATACATGTACATATAAGGAAATCAATGATCCCCGGAGTGGGGCCAAATTTAACCCCAGAGCCCTTAATTGAACAACAAGAGCTGTCACAGGAGACAGCGAAGCTCGACTAATTAAATACTGGACGCAGTAAGGAAGAAAAAACTGAAAGAAAAATCAATTATGATATAAATATATTTCTTCTTATAAGAAGAAGTTATTGTTGTAAACATAAATTCCAAGTTCAAAGGGATAAAATTTTGGAAATAGTCACACTAGAGTTATGGACCTTGTCACACAACATGTGTGTAATGATAAGAAATATATATTTGAAGTTAAAAGTAGATACCTTAAAAAGTAAAGAAGTAATATTTATTAAAGAAATTTCTAAGTTCAAAGGGAGATAAATCTGAAAATATTGCTTCAAGAGTTATGAACCTTGTTGCAAAAGATCTAGTTGATGATAAGGAATTTGTATTAGAAGTCTGAGGTAGACTCCTTTAAAACTAAAGACTTAAGATGTGGTTTATGATAAGGAAAGTATATTTGAAGTATTAAGTTGATCCCTTGAGAAATAAAGAAGTAACAGTTAAAAAATAATATAATAAGTATAATAATATAAGTTTAAGGGGAGATAAATGTAAAATATTGGTGCTAGAGTTATGAATCTTATCACATAAATGATAAGATGTGGTTAATAATAAAGAACATATATTCAAAGTATGAAGTTGATCCCTTAAGTAATAAAGAAGTTACAGTATAAAATAATATTTTTATTGAAAGTTCAAGGGGAGATTAATCTGAAAATATTGGTGCAATAGTTGTAAACCTTTTATTATAAGATGTGGTTGATGATATTAAGAAACATATATTTGAAGTTTGAAGTTGATACCTTAAGAAATGAAAAAGTTATAGAGAAAAATATTTTACTGCACAAAAACTTTAATCTGAAATCTGGACGCTGATGCCGACGCCGGGTCGAGTAGTACAGCTTTCCATATACTTTGTATAGTGGAGCTAAAAATGGTAAACACCAATTAGAAGATGTTTCAAGCTAAATATCTTAGCTCTAGCTCTACGGCTTTTTAAAAGAAGATTTTTTAAGTTTTTACTATATACATAAATGGAAAAACAATGACCCCCTGGGGTGGGTCCAATTTTGACCCAAGGGTTTTTATTTGAACAAACTTGGCCCACTAGAAGATGTTTCATGCTCAGTATCTAAGCTCTAGCTATTTCATAGGGCTTTTTAAAAGAAGATTTTTGTTACTGAGCAGGTGGGGTATAAATCCTGAGAGGGACTTTGGATTTCTTCATGAATGTGAGGAAGCTATCCAACTAGCTTACTGAACATTGTTGGTTCTACTCAGGTGCATGAAATAATGCACAGATGGGCACCAGTAAAGCTGAACATCGCCATATGACCTACACTGTGTCGGTGGGAAATACTCTGAGCTATGTATACTCATTGTCCTCTGTTGGGCGCCAAATCTCACAAGGTTACTGGTTAGAAAAATTGGCAGTCTGACTGGGACTTGAACCCAGAACCCTTGCAATACCATTCCATGATTCTACTGACTGAGCTATTGGCCTACCTAATTAGTGAATAGCTCCCAACCATGATAAACATTTTCAAATTTTGGCCATACATACTTAACTCAAAGCCTATTTGTTAAAATCTTGACAACTATGTTAACTGTGCGTAATCTACTGATTTAAAGTAACATAAAATATGAGACTCAATTGAATTGTTTTATAAGGCGCTGTCCCACACCCCTTAAAAATACTTTCCATTCAATCTGATTATGGTTTATCTTACACTGTTACATCTGTGAAACAAATAATAAACCACAAATTAATCTGATAGATAGAATACAACTGCCCATTTTGAATTTATGTGTGAAGTGATATTAATGATAAGGAAACAAATACCCATTCCATAAACAAGAGCTAATTAATGTAGCTTTGTTGGTAGTGGTTTTTTAGTTTACCTTCCAGATCATGGCAGTTTCTACACATTGACAATTCAGGCACCATATTTGTTTCTGTGAAAGCTCTGAATTTTACAAGGAACTGATGTTACTTCCGTGCATGCCAGAGCAGAGGTTCAGTGTGAACAACCATAAAAAAGAATTTCGTACTTCTGTTTTGTCAATTATATATTTATAAAAATGATTCTTTAAAAACTCAAAAAATTTCCACTATTAAAATGACCAAGTTACACTTTCTGCATAAGGTTTCAGCATTTCTGGGTCCAATTAATGAAAATATATGAAGATTTCAAGATACAGACTGATACAGATATACATGTTAAAATTTGCCTTTTGTTTTTTGTTTTTTCTTGCTTCATATATTTAATGCAACACAGAATTCATCTGAACTAAAGACAAAAATTTACTTTGAGACACTTGACCTAGATTTGAACATTTGAGATGCATGTGAGCCTGTGCCAGCATCAAAATGTTTACTATAATTGTTTACTAAACAGGCATTTTTAAATCACACATTAATTCTAGTTAACTCTGGGATTAACCTAACGTCACTTGTCCATTACGAAGTTACTTCCAAATCCTAAAATAATCCATGTGGGTCGACGAGATCCTCGTTAAAATAAATTATTCTGTGCGTAATTATGCCAAAAATCAATTTCAGTACGTCTCCAGATGTGTAATAACTTATCCGTTCCTTCAATTACAGTTGTTTTAAGTAATCCGATTAACATATTTTTCAATTTTTAAAGCGAATCAACAGCATACTTGAAAATATGACGATTTCTTTCATGTACATGGAGACGTTACTCATTGTTGGGGGTTTTCCCGATATGAGGATATTCCAGGCCAAGTCCATTTCGAAAAGGAAATGAGTGACAACGTACTCGAAATGATAGCGTACTTGATTTGTTATCTAGCCATGTTTTGTCACATACTTATTTTAATTTAAACAAATATTTATAGAATGTTTCGTCAAAATCAACAATAATTGAATTCTCGATTGGTTATTTATTAAAATAAAAAGGTGTAAATATTTACCACCCCTTAAATCGTCGACCTAGATAATAGATTCGTCCAAGTTGAAAGTTCGCACGACTTTGACGTCACAGCCTCATTATGGCGGCAGATTTACTATTTCGATTCATGTGAGAAAACATCAGATTAGTGAATATCTTGGGGATAAATGGAAGTGACAAACCTTCAAATATGGAAGGACCTAAAAGACTTGAATTCACAACACTCGGACCCCCGGGCAAGCCAGAAAAGAAAGACGTGACCCCCAAAACATATCGGTTCGACTTGGACATACCAGAGTCAACTGACACCACATGCCCGGAGTTTTTCTACACGGAGTTACTGAAAACAATACCGGTAAGTCATCAAAATGTCCTTGCTGCATGCAGTAACGATTTTTCTATCAATTTCAACAAAGAGATCATTACTTTTCATATATTTTTGTGTAAAAATATCGATTTAGTAAAGGGAATTCCATTACTTTTTTGCTTACTTAAAACTTTACTGTTAACATGAAAACAACGATTCTTGCAATTCGGTTTTCAACGTTATGATATGCAGCATGTTTGGTCGTAATTTGTTGGGAATAAAAGAAGGTTACCGCCATTTTGGTTATTTAGATCACTGGTTGTTTGTCCGAAGAGTCTGGCCAGTTTTCATACACGTTACACATTTTGATTATCAATTTTCAAAACATTGTTTCCGACCAAAATGATTCAACGGACGGTTGATACGTTATGGTCGTGAAGTTGTGTTCGAATTTTTTCAACATTTTTATTTGATTTTGATAACATTTGTTTGTATAATATATGTCGTTTTCTTGACTTCCATGATCCACTAGTAGTGTAACTACACGTTATACATGTCTGTTTTCATGTACAAATTGGGGTACTCAGACGGGGGAAACACATATATCAGTTGCAACACAAGTTGCAATATTTCTCGTCGATCCTTGGTATTTCTGATAAACTTTGGTGAAGCGAAATTGTCCTTAGGAACTGAACCAGATCCTTAGCAGATATAAACAGCTCATGATGGATGGATAGTTTTATTAAATGTTTTTGTCATTATCAACATTAATGAAAATGTAGAAGGAAATTTATACGACCATACAAAAATGTAGTAAGACTTAACTCAAATTTGAACTTTTAAGAGAGCGCATTACAGTTAATGCTAACCAAGATTTTTTTTGCTATTTTGGTAGGATTTCTTTAGAGATTATGCATAATATTAGAATTTGACATTATTTAGGTGTTTAATAGTCCAATTGACTTTTTTGAGGAAATCTGACATTGTTGCACCGAAACAGTATTGTATAATTTGTCGTCTGCAAATAGTTATGGTCAATGCGCACGCGCAGTGTAATAGTGCTAAGATCGTATAGGTGTGTTACTATTTTAGGTAACGCTTATCGGTAAAAGATGTAACAATTGGCGGAGGGTCGCAGATGGCCCTTACTTACTACGTCTCGCTTGATTTGTTAGATAATTGATTGATATCGATTACTGATTGAGAGGAGATGTCGTTGTGTATCGTAGTTTACTAGGTCGCGGCTATATTTAGATCGTTATTAGTAAACCAGAGCGTAGTGGCGCGGCGCGTTCGTTGTGTATTGAATAGCGGGGGCGGCGCGCGCTAACTTGTATATTGTTTCTCGAGGAAGTGTTCTATGAAAGAGTATTTTGGAAATGGGTTAAGGGGTTGTTGTTTATGGGATGGGTTTAAGTTTTTTGTTTTTAAATATTAACATCCATGAAGATACCTAAAATTAATAGCACGAACAAGTTAAATGTTGGTCATTATTTTTTAACCATTTATTTATTTTTAAATCTAGATTTAGATTTTAAAGACAACAGAAACTTTATTTAGATGCACTGTAGTATTTCATTAAGGGTCATTTTCAGTAACCTTTTTTAATGCTGTGATTTTTATAGAGCAATAAAATCTACATTGAAATTGTCAGATGTGTAATTTTGTTTTACCATTTACCCAGAAAATAGACCTACTGTAGCTCTACAGAACTTTTCTTTCAGAATTTTGTTAGAATCTTTTAACAAAATATGATTTGTTTTTCTTAGCACAAACTTTAGTAGATTCTAGATTTAAAATTTTAGATGTGATAAGAATTTTTTTTATAAACCTGTGTCAGATATAGCTGCTCAACATGATCTTTTCAGTAAATTTTTAAAAATGATGAGGTTAATATACATAAAAGTTTCCCTTTTATTTAGCGAGAGAATTTCAGAAGTTTATATTTTATTTCACTGGATTTGTCATGTAATGTAATGCTTTAGTTTACAATGTGATATGAAAAGAATAGAAATCTACCAGTTAAAAAAAACAACAATTTATTTAAGATATAAAACTTGATTGCATTTTATATTCAATTTTTCTACCCACCACCCCCTTGCATTTCGGAAGACGGACAAAACCCCACCAGTTAAAACCCCACCACTCAAAATTTTATAGAGTGGACAAAACCCCACCACTAAATTTTATAGAGTGGACAAAACCCCACCACTAAATTTTACAGAGTGGACAAAACCCCACCACTTACAAATTATTGGGCAAGATTTGATAAATTGAAATACATATAATATACAGTACACATTTTCACATTTCATTTTTTAATTTCAATATAACATTTGTGTAATATAAGAAATTATACAAATAATTTACAAAGTTGAAACTGTTAAATCAACATCAAAGAGTAGTCATTTATTTGAGACTGTGCCACATTTATTATCTTGAATTATCCATTATTTTTAGTTTCTTCAAATTCATTTCTTCAATTTATTTATATAAAAAATGAACTACTTACTATTAATTAAGAATGTAGCACATTTTCATCAATTAATGATTAAAAAATAGCACATTTTTATAGCACATTTCTAATTTATTCAGTTCAGTTGTACTTCATTGTAGTTAGTTTAAGTGGATACTGTGGCTGATAGCCTGAAGAAACTCGGGTACAGTCTTCTCCTTATTGATGAGTTGTTCACACATTCTTTTGAGTTTCTGCTGATGCACAATTGTTTATTTTTTAACATGTTTACAAGAAAGTTTTGTCAACTCTATAAAACTGAAGTGGTGGGGTTTTGTCCACTCTATAAAATTTAGTGGTGGGGTTTTGTCCACTCTATAAAATTTTGAGTGGTGGGGTTTTAACTGGTGGGGTTTTGTCCTACATTCTGCATTTCATATACATTGAAAGGGCCTTTTAATTTGTGTACCCGTATATTAAAAGTACTAACTGGTATAGGCCTTCTCATGTCATAGAATTATTTTTAGGACCACTGAAACTAACTTCAATGGCTTTATTTAAGTTAGTATTAAATAGTAGTATTAATTAAATGTTAAAGGGACTCTACTGACGTTTTTTGACATGATGGAACTGGAAATAATATTTCAAAATTAATGTTTGATAGACCACTCACTTGTGTGCAGAATTTCAGATCATTGGATTACTCCTTTGTTCCAAAATTATTTTTCTAATTGTTACAAATGACCAAAAATTGAAATTCTGAAATCAGGCTAAGAAGAGCATAAAATTACGATTTTCAATTTATTTCCGAGTACATTTCTTAATTATCTTTTGCATATCTCTCTCTGTATTGAGTGCCCAAGCTAATATATGTTAAGAAATTCAAATTTTATGTTAGGCTTTTGGACCTCAGTGGAGTTCCTTTAAGTGGGATTCTATTTGAAATTCTGCTTTACATTTTCTTATTTTACTGTTGTTGTTTTAAATTTGTTCTGTATTAAGTTACAGCAAATGATTATTTATTCTATTGTTTGCAGGGTGCTGAAGATAAACCAAAGTCATCAGCTGACCCGTTTGATGATGATGATGCAGATAAGCTTGCTGCAATTGCTAAAAGCTTTGAGGACAAATATAACGTGAGTTCGTACTCCTGGAGACATTTAATTTGGATAAAAACAAAACAAAAAAAACTATATAGACATAAGAAGTTGTATTTATTTTTTTGATTTTTTGAAAATTTGCCAAATTGATGCCTTACATTTGAAATGATTATGATTTTGAAATGATTTTTAAACCTGAATGGCAGTTGTTTTATGACCGAAAGAAAAAGTATATCTCTTAGTTGGAGGAAAATTCATCATCAGGATTAAAGATTTTTTTAATAAACCTTTGTATGGTGATAATCCACATATTATTTTGCACATGTAAATTTCTGCTATTAAATATTAAATAACATATTAACCAGAATGGATATATTTTTGTTAAGAACAAGAGCAGAGTCTTAAGACAACAAAGTGCGCACATCACCACTATACAAAAATTATATAGTTTTTTTAAAACACAAGGTCAGTGCTATTTGCAAACAATCACCATTTTGAGATATGTAATATATAGTCATTTTGTTACAAAATTAATCATTTCCCATTATTTAAATGTTAGCATTTATATAATGTATATAACTACAGTATTTTAATGGGTCTTTTTATTCTCAATAATCATAGCAAGGTTTTTATAATTATGTAATGAGTTTGATATGTTGATAAAAAAAAATTTCTTTATTAATTTGCTTTTTATTAAACATAGAAGTATTATGTTGTTTTTTTGTACAGAAACCAAGTACTGGGAAAAAGAAGAAGAAAAGAAAATGGCAAGATAATTATTATCTGGAACAACTTGGAGAAGGATATGATGAAAATGATACGTTCATTGATAATTCTGAAGCCGTAAGTTTTGTAGAAACATGCTGAAATTGTACCCAGACTTGTCAGAAAATGATTAAATACCAAGTAAAATAAGAATAGATTTTTAACTGAAGAAGACCATGCTAATGAATTTGGATAATTGATATTTCTTTTCTTGCCAGAAATGGAATTTAAAAAATAAAACTGTCATCTAATGTCTGATGTTGATAAACTGTTACTTCTAGAAGTAAGTAAATAAATAAACAAGTTTGACAAGTTGCATTATATCGTACTATTTGGGGAGTCTCAAGCGTTTTCTATGTTGTTAGGTTCTGTTGAATGATTGAATCCTTGCATATGCATTACACCTTGGCTATGCTCTGAACTAGCTTTCAATGTACTTGTATACCATGCTTCTTTTATGACAATTCTGTACCTAGAAATTGTCCACTTATACCTTTCGTTTACACTAAAATAATCTAAGGTTATGTTTGCTTGGTGAATTATTGTTAACAAAAGCAGTAAAAAAAGAAATGGTAAAAATTGACATTTCTGTAAAAGATGTGTGAAAGAGCACTATTGGAAAATTTTCTTTAAAATGAAAAGGAGTGCAGCAAATAAAATGCAGCAATTAAAGTGGGTTTAAGCAACCAATTTTTAATTCCCAAGATAGCTGCATTGATGCAATTGCAAATTGACTTGATTTATTTCCAGTATGATGAAGTGCTGCCGGAAACCATGACAACGAAACTCGGAGGATTCTATATTAACTCTGGACGTCTTGAATTGAAAGAAATGTCTGACTCTTCAGAAGATGAATTTAGATCTCCGTTGCCTGTAAAGAAGAATAAAAAACGGGTAATTAGGCAAAACTTGTAAATTATTAATTGATAAAATGTTGTGTCTATAAGAATTAAAAGTATCGTCTCACGGTATGACTTCCCTGATATACAGTGAGATCAGTTTTCTCTTTGTAATTAATAATGTAGTATTTAAAAAGCTTTTATCAAAATGATAGCAATTTTAATTATTTTCAAGTGACTCTTGTGATTCTATGATATACAAGATAGGTATTTAGTATATACAGAATTTATAATAGTTCCATTGTGTAGTAAACTATAAGCTTATATTCACACTCTTGAATCTGTTCCTGGAACGAACCAGTATTGTGCAATTAGTGTAAAATTTCTTTGCTTAAAGAAGCAATGGCTTTCCCTATCTGGGGTTTGAACCCACACAGCTATAGGTCCTTAGATTACTTGTCCAATGTGATAACCATTTGGCCATGCAGCCACATAAAATTGGTATTTACAATAAATATTTCCATCTTTGGTTAGTAATCATACAGGCAGGAACTGTGAAACAGTGATTTCCTTTGTTCTAGGAAATCCTTGTCACTGATTGTATTTTGAGAAAGTGGATAGATTATAATTTATTCATTACATATTTAATGGGTATCTGACTTTCTGTTTTAGAGAATTTCGTCTGATGAGGATTCTGATGGTGAGAAAGTTGTAAAGGTAGGTGGTTGCTTTAGAAGATATGAGCCGTGTCATGACAAAACCAACATAATGAGTTTGCGACCAGCATGGATCCAGACCAGCCTGCGCATCCGTGCAGTCTGACCAGGATCCATGCTGTTCGCTTACTAACCCTATTACAAGTAGAGAAACTGATAGCGAACAGCATGGATCCTGATCAGACTGCGCGGATGCGCAGGCTGGTCTGGATCCATGCTGGTCGCAAACCCATTATGTTGGTTTTGTCATGACGCGGCTCATATGAAGATGATCTTACTTGACAAAACACTGTTAAATATAACCTGTATTTTCAAATTACCTTTATTTCTAACAAATCACTTGGGCTGTTAGAAAAAAAAATTAATGTTTATAGTCATTGTTTGTTATTTTATCATGATCGATGGTGAAGTTTTCTGGGGAAAAAAAGTCATTTTAAATACAATTAACAATTGTCATTTCAATATCCCCAATGTTGCCATTTATTTTAGACAGTTCAGCTAAATTATCAGATGATTACATTATGTCAATAAATTACTGTCAGTAGGAACATTTAGAAGCCTTTTTGAGCTAGCTAGGATTCCATGCTACAATTTACAATAAAATTTGGCAGGCATATGCACAGAATTATTTCCCTTTCCATTTCATAGTAACGTTTCAAAATATTTATTGTATAAAGAGCGTAAAAAGAACAGTCTCTGTTTGTGTAAAGTATTAGAATTAATTTCAATTTCTTAATCATTTATTTATGGCCTCTGCCCATATAGCAAAATACATGATCTATGATAATGTATATACCAGTCTGAGGATAAGAAGATCTTGCTTTAATTTTTACAGAAAAAGAAGATCAAAGATTCATTATCGGTAGATGGTGAGGTGAAGAAAAAGAAAAAGAAGAAGCTGATCATTCCGCCAGGAGAAAAACCCATAAAGAAAGTCAAAATAAAGGATAAGGTCAAAGAGTAAGTACCTTAGGGGAGAAAAACTGTTAGCTTACCTATATATTTTTTTACATTATATGTATTTTATTTTTGAAATTTTAAAGCTATATCTGGTAAAACATTGTTAACTACTGTGAATTTACTTATATTTGTGGGCATGAAATTTTGTGGTTTTATCAAAACGGGCATTTTTGTGGGTTCTTAAATTCATGGATTTTCATTATCTTGTAAAAAAAAAAGATTACCTAATGCAAGTATTTGTTGAGGTAAAATTTCTTTGGATCTTAGATTCGTGGATTGGTTGTAGAGAAGTAAAATAGAACAGTAAAATTGAATAGACAGGCAGCACAACATTGCTTTACACCATTTATTTTATATTAACAGTGTATTTTTAGTTTAAACAGAATTTCCTTTATTTTGCATCTTGTAGTATGTCCATTATTAACAGTAAAAGTGGTAGTTTTACAGGTGCTCTGGTACATAATCCAGGAACATTGCTTACCATTATATGACTAAAATGAATTTAAACTGTTTCCAAACTAAAACAAAACAACAGTTCTAAAGAAATACATTTATAATTTTCAGTGGAAAGTCGAATGCTGTCAGTGCATTAATCAAAACGACGTCGCCTAACTTGAATGGTGACAGTATTGAGAATGGTGTAATCAGTTCCGACAGTGATGTGAGTGACGAGGCTAAAAGTCAGATGAAATCTAACATCTCCATGGTGATTGATTCTGTGATTGCCATGGCAGCCAATGACTCGAGCAGTCGGGGAGATTTTGAAGAGACAATGCCAAAGAAAGATATTGATCCGGAGAGCATTCCAAAACTTCCGCCAGGTCTGCCATCGGGAATGGATAAAAAAATTGAGCAACTGAAAAATGTAAGTATCAAGGTGTTCTGTAATAAAACACAAAAGAATACATAAATATTGCATGTTTTTCATATGTGCTATTGACCTTAAACATGTATGTTGATAATATAGAGGATATTTGTTTAGTTCAGTGTAAGATCGGAACATATTTCACCAAGTGAGCTCCAAAAGGTATATTTCATGAGTGGTGCAGCCACGAGTGAAGTATGAACTTTTGGTGTACACGAGGTGAAATATATTTTCATCTTACACTAAACTTAACAAATTTTCTTTTTATTATATGCAGAGAAACGCTTAATAAGACATTTTAACCTAGTATTTAATGAAAAGCGTGCCAAATAATAATACAAAGTGACATCATTTAAGACATCATGCCATTAAGTTGGTTTCCAGTACTGTGCACGCAGGTATATCACTGAAACAACGTAACGGGCTTAAATTCAAAAAAGTGAAAATTATCAAATTGATAATTTCACTGTTTCAGACAGTGAAATTACCAGTTTTTAACTCACTGATACTGGTGATATTGGCCGGTTATTGTTTTAAGTTACAATTCCAATGGTTGATATGTTTTTCAGCATGCAATGGAGTCTCAAGATGGCAAATGTAAATTCTTCACTGATGATGTCAACAAACAGTTACTTGAGTAAGTATTGACATTGACCTTGACTTTTGCGATTTTAAATGATACTGCTGTATAAGGCCCCCACGATTACACGTTTAAACGGATTCGTTTCGATTTTCATTCGTAAACGTTTACGATAATTTTTACCGTTTAATCGAAATTACCATATTGGCTTACAAAATTTCTTAATCATTGCCTATTATCATGGATTTTATCAATTCTAGTGGTTTATTCCAAAGTAAAAAACGGAAAATGGGTGTTTACAACCCTCCACACAGCATTACCGTGCACAAATTGCTCCTGACATAATACAGAAAATGTGTGCTGACTCAATCGTGATGATCCCTGAACATTCTTTATTTGTACATGTATTAAAAATAGAAAGTAAGTCATCATTTGGCGACTCAAATACATGGTGTATATAGTACATAGAGTTACCACCGTTTAAACGGTATCGTTTCGGTTCTTGGCAATCGTGTAAACGTTTACAAAAAATTGTAAACGTGGGAGCCTTACTGCTGTATTATCAAAGGGTAAGATTGTATATATATATGTCAAGGGTTGACCCCAAAACTGTCGTAAGTCCTTCTTTATTTCATATAAGTTACTGCAGTTTTACGATCAACCCTCGATCATTTTGTTTCTAAGAACTTTTTTTCCCTGCAAAGCTTCATCCGTCAAAATATTGTTTTTTATGAAATAATAAGAGAATATATATTCATACTGCAAACAGTTTGTTATATGTTTATTAGATTGTTATGTTACCAGTTATAATATGGTTACATCACGTAGACATTTCTTCACATTTCCATTTAAAGTAAATCACTTTGTATCAAAAGTGAATTTTTCCACTTATAAATTGTAACAGATCTTTTTAAAAAAAGATTACATGATAACTTCAGGGTTGAGATAGCATCGAAACAGATGAGTGTTGGTAACAGGTCGGCCATGTTTGGTCACCTGGCTGCATTCCTACCTTGCAGTAAAGATACGTTATTAAAACGTGCCAAAACTTTACTAGTCAAGGAGTTAGAAGACAAGATAAAAGCGCCACTGGACAAACTCAAAGATGGTAAGTTGACATTATTAGTTTTTATAAATATTTTGATAGGTTTAAATGACCTGGTGTAGATAGCTGTAATCTTATATAACCTAAACAGCTAAGGGTTATATGGCAATCATCTGTTATTACATTGCCATTTATATAACCTAAACTGTTAGGAAAAGGTTATATGGCAATCAGCTGTTAATACATTGCCATATAAGATGTAGCTGTCAAAAAGTATTTTTAGTCCCCTACCGGTTTACCAGAGGGGACTGTAGGTTTACCCTCCGTCCGTCTGTCTGTCTGTCCATCTGTCTGTCAGTCTGTCCGTCCACAAAAATGGATCCCGCGATAACTTGAAAAGTACTGAAAATATTTTTATGAAACTTGATATATGGATAGATTGCAGTATGGAGATTATGCACGTCTTTTTCTTTTCTTCTTATGCTGAAAATTTTGGTTGCTATGGCAACAAATAGACTGAAAATATGGCAAATTTTACACATAAACTGGATCCAGTGGTAACGCATAAAGGAATGGAAATATTTTTATGAAACTTGAAATATTGGTAGATGGCAGTCAGGAGAATAAGCATGTCTTTTTCTTTTCTTCCTATGTTGAAAATTCTGGTTGCTATGGCAACAAATAGACTGAAAATATGGCAAATTTTACACATAAACTGGATCCAGTGTTAACGCAAAAAGTAATAGAAATATTTTTATGAAACTTGTAATATGGGTAGATGGCAGTCTGGAGATTATGCACGTCTTTTTCTTTTCTTCCTATGTTGAAAATTCTGGTTGCTATGGCAACACATAGACTGAAAATATGGCAAATTTTACACATAAACTGAATCCAGTGATAACTCAAAAAGTACTGGAAATATTTTTATGAAACTTGACATATGGGTAGATGGCAGTCTGGAGATTATGCATGTCTTTTTCTTTTCTTCCTATTTTGAAAAAATTGGTTGCCATGGCAACAAATAGGCTTAAAACATGGCAAATATAACAATATTTGTGATTAGTCAAAAAGAGCTGAAATTTTTTATGAAATTGCATCTTTATTTCAAGAGTTATCTCCTCTTTAAGAATTTTGCTTTTAAAAATGTTATATTTTGGTAACAGGGATGTTTCAAATATTAACTTTAGAGTGTCCTTCAGTCCGTCTGTCTGTCTGTTCATAAAAACTGTTTCCTGTGATCACTTTTAAAGAACTTTTCCAACAAATTTACTTAAAATAGAGAAAAATTGAAACATTAGTGAATGGCCAATGGCCCTTCAGAATGTTGATAAGGTTCTAACCGGTAGGGGACTTATGGATTGCTTGCAATACTATGATAATTGCTTGTTTAATTGAGTTTTTAGCGCTTTATCATTTCTTTCTTTAAAGCAAAATGAAATTTAAATAATATTATAAATTTACGGCAGTCGTATATATAGATAACATAACCACTATTATACAATGAAAATGATGTTACAAACATGAATATATAAGTTATTCTCACCATTTAAATACTAACATAATGTTTGTGGTCATTTGAGGGAAGTACATGTACACAGGCGAAAACTTCTCTTTAGCCGAGTTCATGTAATATCATTATCAACATAGAATTTTTTTTAACCTGGAAAAATAAGTGTTTAATAAATGACATAATCTTTAATAGTTAGGTGAAATGCTATATTTACAATATTACAAGACGATGAGTCTGAATGAATTAAATAAATGATATGAGCTCCGTGAAATTATGCTATATGATCAATAAGTAATGATCAAAATATTTAAATTTTGTAGCTGTCAATAGAATAATGCCAGCACTCATAGAGAAATTTGAGGAGGACAGTAAAAAGGCAGCTTTAGAAAAGTAAGTTTGGGAATATACACTTAGACTATTTATGAATAAAGTATTGAATTAAATCAAAGTTAGCAATACATGTAGTTAAAATGTAATGTAGTGTATATATGTGTAGTGTACCATTTATTTTGGCAAAGTTACAAACATGAAGGTTGTTGGCATGCAGCTTTAACCCATTGCCACACGCTCTATATGTTATACATAGCTTCATAATTATGCCAAGGCAAATTTAATTTTTTGAATGATGAAATTTACAATAATGTCTGAGATATGTGAGCGGCTAGCTTTTAAAAAAGGTTAGTTTAACCATTTAGGTATTTACTCATGACTTTATGCATTGGAGGGTCATTTAGATTTTTTTGTCTGCATGTAAAGCAAGGAGGTGTCCATGTGACTATAGCAATACTGGTCTAAAAGCTTCTTCAAAAGATTTAATCAATATAGAAATAAGTATTAAACGAATTAAATTTTGAAAAATATAACATGTTTTTGCTTGTGTAACTAGACTTGAAGAAGGAAACAAGGAACCAGTTAAAGATGACAAGGAGAAAGAAACTGGGAAAGAAGATGCTGCTACTGAGAGTGATGAGGAGGAGAAAACAAACCAGTCTGATGTTACCAAGAAACGCCAGACTGGTCCCAGGAAAAAGTTTGTCTGGGATAGTGAAGTTAGGTATGTTTCAGCTGTTACGACGATGATTGACTTAACCTTTAATCTGAATTTGTGAAATGGATTTGTCCTGTGTTTTAATTTGGAACAGTCCATTCAAAATTTTAAGGGGTTTTTAATTTCAAAAAACAAAAATTTTAAAGGGAAAAAAGTACAAAAAGCCCCGCAAGGGGGGCGGGGGTCTCTATACTGGTGACAAAGGGGTTTTCTTTTTGTTTTCCAGCAGTAAAAATTAAAAAAAGGGTTTCGTTGTTTAATTATGAACAGTCATTAAAGTTTATAGGATTTCAATATTCAAAATACAAAAATTTAACTGGCAAATAGTACATAGCCCTGTCAGACTGTATGGATGTGCAAGTTGGACTGTCTCTATACTGGTGACAAAGGCTTCTTACTTTTCGTTTCCAGCAGGTTAAGAATTAAGAAAAGTGTAGATTACTAGATTGTTTCAATTATATCATATTAGTTTTAGATACTATTGTGTAACAAATTCTTCAAAAAAACAACTTGTTTTGTCTTTGAATAATTTTCTTTATTGGCACATACTTGATAATTATTTTGATATACATTTAAGTAGTTACAGGTTGTGTTTTAACAATTCAAGTATTCTAAGCTATCCTGCTTTATTGCATTTTTTAAAGGATGATCTTTGAGAAATTCTCAGTAGATGTTGAGACTTTTCTAAGATAATTATTTTCTTTGAGAACTGTATATTGCGAATGATTCCAGATTATATTTACAGGAAATATTTTTCCATTTTATTGATTTTTATATGTATATGAATATTTAACTGTATTCTGTAAATACTTGCTTATTGTTTGCAGATCGTTGTTATGTGATGTTGTACAAGTTAAGATGCGTACTTACATGATGTCAAAGGGGAAGTCACAGACTGCAGAGGAGTTCTGTAAGAATTTCCTCGAGCAAGATGTCCGTCCAATTTGGCCAAAGGGTTGGATGCAGACTCGGGTTCTTTATAAAGAAAGCAGAGCACCCCATTCAGGGGGGCCCCTAATCCGTAAGATTAAAAATCCCAAAATTTTAACAGCAAAAATAAAATTTTACCACCCGGGATTTTTCACTTTGTAAAAAAAATGTTTTTAATCCGCAAGACAAGTAAATTTTAATTTGAGTATTTTTTTGTTGAAAAAAAAATTTTGATTCAATAGTTTAAACCCTTTTGGTTTTAAAAGACAAAAAAGAATCAAAAAAATACGGGTTATATGTTTCATATTTTTTGTACTGTAAATTTTTTTTATTAGCACAAAACCTAAAAAAATTTTAGGTCAGTATTAAAAATTATAAAGTTTTTTTAAGGGCCCAAAAAAATTTTTGAAAAATTTTTCAGGCTTTATTAATATTTTGGGGTTTTCCATTTTAAAAGTGAAAAAATTAGTTTTCTTTTTTGATTTTCCCCCTAAAAAAAAATTAAATAAATTTGCAAAATTTGATCGTGAAATAACTTCAAAATTGGGGAACAATAATTGATCCAAAAAACAGGTGTTTTATGGAAAACCCAAACTTATTTTTTAAAAAAAGTTTTGAAAAAAGCCCTTTCTCTTACCAAATGTTTTTCAAAAAATTATTAAAAAGGAAAGGGAAATTTTTTTTTGGGATTTGGTTTAAAGTTCACGCCACATTTTGGTTTGTAAAAAAATAAAATTCCCAAAATTTCATTATTTCTTTTTTAGGAAAAACCCAAAAAAACCCTTTATTAGTAAGAAAAAGGCAAAAGGGGGGGCGACAGTTACAAACAAATCTAAAAAATCCCCAAAAACATACCCGGTGACACTACCCAAGCTCAGCGAAGCTGCAATATATTAATGTGACCAAAATAAACTCAGGAAATACTGTGGTTAAAACTACAAGTGTAAATATTAACAATGCTAAACCAGTTGTGAGTAGTCAGCAAAGTACGCCAAACGTTGCGTCCAAGAAAGTGATACCCACAATTCTTGATTTTGCAAACAGTAATACAGGAAGTGCAAGTGATTTATCTCTTATAAGAAGTTCTTTACAAGGAAGTGCGGAAAAACCATCGCCATCAATGATTAAGATTAGTGATATGAGATTATCAGGACCGAAAAAAACGGACAGCTCTTGGGATCATATGGTATCAGATATATTAAGGTCCTCAATTGGTAATGACCAACACTCGCCACCGAAACCAATCGTACAAAGACAAAATTCAAACAGTGCTCAGCAGGCACAAGCAGCTAGTGGGATATAGGGGCGCAGTTTGGTTATGAAAAAATCAGACCCAGTGGTGAACGCAGTTATTCCTGATAAAAAATTAGCTGAAACCAAATGGTAAAAAACCCCCAACGGTAAAAAGGGCAAGGGGCCCAGCAGGGGGTGAAATTAACTGAGAAACAGAGAAGAATTCCCCAAATTAAAAAATGCAAAAAAAAAAAAGGAAACTAGGGAGAAAAAAATACACACAGAAAAATGGCTATTGAAACCCCCCTCTCCCTAAAAATGCTCCCTTTTAGCAAAAAAGCAGAGACAAAGGAGTGAAGTTTCACCCAAAAGTTTCCCCGAGTCAAAGTCCAATGAGCTTGGGCAAGTCAAAAACCCTTTCCAGTAATTTCAAGGTCAAAGGGCCCCGAAACAGCTGAGGGTCGTTCGCGGGGGGACAGCAAAAACATTTTGAAAATTTAAAAAAGGGAAACCCAATTGAATGACAGTAGTCAAGGTAGTCCAATGCTGCAACAGGTTAAAACACTTCAAAAACAACCAGGTGGCAGTTATGTGCAGATTTCCCCAAACCTCAAAACCCTCTCGGGAAAAATTCCCCCTCACGGGAAGGTAAAATTAGGGGAAAATGCGGGGAAAAGTAACATATTGGACCTTGAGTAAGTAATTTCACAAAGTCAAGGTCAAGTCTTGTTCAGTTCAGGGGTAACCGTTACTACCAACAATCGCCCTGCTTCAAGTTTGCTCAAAACTTTGTTTGGTCAGGCACAGGCTCAGACCAGTAGCCAGAGTTTTACTGTACCAAGTGTCCAAAGGTCCTCAGTCCAAGGAACCCCCAGTCCTAAGGTTACCTCACCCCATGGGCAACCTCAACACAGATGGAGTCCAAGCTCTTCAATTCAGGAGTTACAAGCCAGATTACAAAGTGCTGCTGGGATGCAGCCAAAACCATATACAATGCCAGTAACCAGCCCTCAGGCTATACCAGGGTACCAGAGTGTGAAACTTTCCAGTCTGACACCAGAACAGATACAGTCATATCAAGCAGGTACTTGATTTTAAGTTTTTGAATGAATAACTTTTTTCATATTGCTACGTTTCTTTATAAAGGCTTCATTTAAAAAATGACTGAGATAAAATTTTAGATGCTCTTGTTTTCTGGGCCGGGAAACCTCGATTTTTGGCTGGGCGTAATTTTTTAATATAAAGTCAAGGTTACAAAATGCTGTAATTGGTAAATTTTAAAAACATTGTTATTTTTTAGGGGCTGAAAAGTTTTAAATTGAGTTTTTAAAAAAAAGTCACCCAAGGCTGACATGTTTTGGATTAAAAATTTCTCTTTTGTTAAAATTGGGGAAAGGCCCAAAATTTAAAAAACTGGACAAGCCCTTTTTTTTAAAAATTTAGTGAAGTCGGGTTTAAAATTATATGATATCATTGATATTTTAAAATTTTCCCTTTGGGGTTAGAAAATTTTGACAATAATTTTTCATTTTACTAAAATAATACACCCAAGGAGCTTCGTAGTCCAACATCCAGAAAAACAGTTTGTCTGAACCTGGTAAAAAATTTTAAAAAAATTTTACTTTTAATGTCATATTCTCTCTTCCCCCCGGCCCTTTTTATTTATTAAAGGGAAATTTAAATTATATTATAAAAAGGCCCTTTGGTAAACCCCAACTTCCCTGTTGTCAATATATTTTTTTTTAAAGATAAAAAAAAAAGGGAAATTTTTTCTTTAAAAAGAAAATTTTAATTAAAAGGGTTTTTCCAAAAAGGGCCCTACAATGGGGTTAAATTTTTTTAAAAATTTTTTTAAATTTTTTTTTTTTTTAAAAACTTTTGTCATAATTTAAAGAATTGATTAACAATAAATCTCCAGAATTGAAATGAGCCGTGTCATGACAAAACCAACGTAATGGGTTTGCGACCAGCATGGATCCAGACCAGCCTGCACATCCGCGCAGTCTGATCAGGATCCATGCTGTGCCCTTACAATCCTATTGACAAGTAGGGAAAACTTTGATAACAAACAGCTTGTTTTAGGGTTTGTTAGCCGGAACAGCATGGATCCTGATCAGACTGCTGTTGGAAATGCGCCAGGCTGGTTGGAATCCCCTGCTGGTCGCAAACGCACTATGTTGGGTTTTGTCCATGACGCGGCTAAATATTTTTTATGAAGGCAAATTTGTCCCCAGAAATCAAATTGTTTTATACCATAAAGGTGATTGAAAAAAGCACTTAAAGATTCTCTATTAATAAATAAAAATAATTTTCTTTGGGAAAATGGTTTTATAAAAAAAAATTTTAAAAATTTTTTTTCACTTTAAATTTTTCCTTTTTTGCCCGGGGAAATTTTTTGCAATGTTTTTTCCTGAAAAAAACGTTTTTGGTCCTTTCTTAAAATTTATCTTGAAAATTTTTCACCTGTTTGTTTCATTTTTTTAAAAGGTATTTAACAATTTGTGATAAAAAATAAGTATTTACAGGACTGAAGACCAAAAATTTTATTTTTTATTTTTCCCGTCTTGTAAAAAATTGTAGATTTTAAAATTAAAAAAGTTTAACCCAAATTTCCTTAAAACCCCTACCCCCGCTAAAAATCTTTTTAAAAAAGGGCTCTATGTTTAAAAAACTGTCTGCTGTAAAAATTTGGGGAAAATAAGATGTAAAATAATTTAAATGGGGGTTTAAACAACAATATTTAAAACCCGGTCAGACTAAGGGATTGTGTTTGCCCTGGTTTTATACTGGTACCAATGGCAAATAACTCAGTTTTTTAATTTTAAACCCTTAAATTTCTGTATATTATAAATAGTTTTTTAATAAAGAAATTTAAATAGAAAGTTAATCTATTTAATGATGCAAGCATCAAAAAATTTTAAAACTGCCAAACCTGCCTTTTTAGTTACTGCTTTCTTTTAAAAAAATTTTTTGGGCAGTTCCCGACACATGTATTTTGGCTAACTTTATTACTGTATAATTTTTTCCTTTCCCGTTTTTTAGAACCACATGTACCTTTCTAAGATATTCCTGTTCTGATAAAAAAGACCCATTTACTTAAAAACATTTTTAAAATCCAATTTAAAATTTAATATGGGTTATTGAATTGTAAAGGCGCTGGTAAAAAAATGATATGTATTAAGCATGTTAAGTAAGACCACAAGATAATGGATAAGATATTAATCAAGATTTAATATTACTTGACTTTCTTGATTTAGCCTCTCTGGAATTATTACCTCAGAATAAGATTTCTTAATTGGGACAATTTTTAAATTTTTGGTAAGCAAGATTCCAAATTTTTAAAATTTTTTTCTAGAAAAATTTCCCGTCTGGGGGATTGCCCAAAGCCATATTTAAAAATTGGAAGGAATTTTAACTTTAACCTTTTAATTTAAAATATGTTTAAGGGGAAGGGAAAATGGGAACCTGTGTACCCTGTTTCTGTTGACTTTAATAGACCAATTTTGGTTTATTATTTTTTTTATTTATGAGGATGTGCTAATGATTAGTGTAAAAACACCTTAATTAAACCCTTACAGGTCCTCAAAAAATTTTCCCCGATTTCAAAACTATAATAACTTACATTTATTTTGGTTTTCCAAAGGTTACAGAGGGGGAAAAACCCTGCATGTTGTCATGGTGACTTGTTTTATCCCAGCTTCTTTCTCCCCATCCCACATTTTTTTTGTTTTTTTTTGCATGTTTACAGAATTGTATCTTTAGTTTAGAGATTATTTATTTCCTCCTGCTGGTGGTCTTATATTGAATATATTGTGTTAGAGGGTTTATTTTTTTAGACAAAATGATCTTTGTCACATTGTTTACTTATACAGAGTATGTGTGTAGTATGGAATTTAGGTTCTGACATTAGCATTAATATTTTGCATTTCCTTTATAGTACTGTGGTAGCTATATGGACTCAGTTTTGTAGCAAGTTAGTTAGGTCTTAAAAATCCTGAAACAGTTTTGTTTGGTCCTTTTTAATTATATACATAAATAAACCAGTTATGGTGCTAGGATAGAAGATGGGAATGCACTAGAATGACTTTCTATTGACAACTTGTCAAACCCTAACTGACTTGTCATAAATTCATTTAAAGGGGTTGTAGGGTTGTTTTTAAAACCATTTTTTTTTTCTTTTAACCCTTGAAAAGTTAAAAATCCTTTAAACCCCTCCCAGTTTTGACAAATTAAAAATACATTGTACATTGTTATTAAAAAATTTAACCCCCCCAGGGTTTTTTTTATGAAATTTTTCAAAAAAAAAAAAAACAAGAAAAGGGTTGAGAGAAATTGAAAAAGGGAAAAAGGGGTAAAAGACTTTTTTTGCTTTTTATTGCCTGCGTTTTTAAAAAAAATGGTTGAAAATAATCTCCCCCCCTTTTCCCCCATCAGTGCAATAAAAAACATTTCTGGGAATTTTTTGTGCCCGTTTTTAATTTTCCCCATTATCAAAAATTTTTATACATTTCATTCTGGATCCTAAATTTTAAATTTTGACCAATATATACGGGTTTTTGTGAACTTTAAAAAGGATTCTCAGTCAGAACCACTAGAGATTTTTACTTGAAACTGTAGACATTTTCTGCCGGACTTAAATTATAGACAACTGATCATGACCCATTAAGTGTAGCAGTAATTTCTTACCGAATTATTTCTCCTTATTTTTTGAAAATTCCTGAAATTTCCTTTCTGGTTGTTTTAAAATCAAGCATTGCGAATAGTTTAGTGTGATTTGCCTGGGAGCTCTTGTCCTGGTTTATTTTTTTATTATTTTTTTTCCATGATTATTTATTTCAAGTCACAAAGCCAATTTCATTTTTTTTCATTTTAAAAAGCAGGTGTAATTTTATGCTGTCCCCTATTTTTTTTTATAGATCTATAGAAAAATTAAATTTGCAAATTTGCAAAGGAATTATCATAGATTTTCTTTTTAAAAAACAAAGTTTAAAAGAAATTTCAAATTTCATTGTGGGAGAGTTCCCCTTTTGTGATTCCTTTTTCAGAAATGTGAATTTTAAAAGCAAGGGTTGAAAATGTAAAAAATCATAACATGAAAAATTTTTTTTAAATTTAAAATGAAAAGAAAATTTAGCAAAAAAAAAGAAATGGATGAAACACATTCTTTTAAAAATTAATTCTTTTCAAATTTTTTTAAAATTGCTGCACATATTTACAAAGGGTAACCCCTTAAAGTGAATTTTTGCTAAATTTAAATTAAAAAAAAGAAAAAAAAAGAATGTTTTTGTTGGATTCTACCTTTTAATTTTCGTACAGTCAAGGGGAAAATTTTTTCTTAAACACATCATTCTCTTTGAAAAATTTTATGTATCCAATTGTTTTTTTTTGTTTTTTACATTAAAATTTTTGATATTTTTCTTACTTTCAAAACGATATTTATTCTTAACCCTCTCCTTAAAATTCCATTCCCTGTTTAAGGGGGTAACTGCGTAGAAAAATTATAATTGAAACCGTGTCATGACAAAAACCCAAAATTTAAAAAGGGGTTTTCGACCAGCATGGACCAGACCAAACCTGCGGGGAAGCGCAGGGCTTTAAACAGATCCCTGTGTTCGCATACAAACTCTAAAAACAAGTAAAAAAACCCGATAGCGAAAGCATGGGCCTGATCCAAAACTGCGCGGGTTTCGGGAGGCTGTTTGGGTCCTGCTGGGCGCAGACACTTATTTTTGGGGTTTTTTTCATGACGGGGGCCTATTGTCATGGGCCTAAAAAACAACTTAAAAATGATGCCAAAACCATCCGTGACAATTGCCGTAAAATTTAAAAATTTTAAAATTAAAATATTATTTTGTTTACTTTTGATGGAAATAAAAAGCAAGAAAACAGTGTGCCTCCGATAAGCCCCGAATAACCTTCGGAAGAAAAATGAAAATTATTTTCCATTGAAGTAAATTCCTTAGAAAACCCCTTTTTTTTGCCAGAGAGATTGTCTTTTTAAATCCTCCCTATGAAAAAGTATTTGTCCTTCCCTTAAATTGGGAAAAGTTTTAAACATAAAGATTTTTTTTGTGATAATTTTTAGAGATTTCCCGTTGCCCTTTTAATCAGTTTTTGCCAAATCTTTTTAATATTTAAAATTAAAATTTAAGATATATATAGAAAAAATTTGGTTTTTCCTTTAATAAGATAAAATAGCATTTTCTTGTGATGGCAAACTTTTTCAAGTAAAACCATAAATAGCAGGTAGTAAAATGTATCCTTACTGTACATTACAAATGAATTTTTAAAGATATTTATTTTTTCCGTCCGGACCAATTTTATAAGACAGGTACAGTTAGACAGGGTCTTTCAAATAGACCCTATATGAAAGACCCCCGAGTTAGATTAAAATACTGGAATATCTCTTTCTTTAAATTTCATTATATATATAGTTGGATGGTAATTTTTTTCATCTTCAGAAATTCTTCAAAAGTTTTTTTAAAGTGGTGATATACTTACCACTGTTAATGTGCTTGTAATTTATTCTGACTTTGGTATTTTAGTCTGGACTAAGATTGAGCCGGCTGGCTGCAGTAGATTTACCAATGCGACCAGTGCAGACGAAGATCAGCTGGCCAACTATGTCATGTGATCATGGTCTGCACTGGTCAGTATGGTATTTTGAAATTTGTCTTCAGTAATGAATGGATTTATCCTTATTAAGAGATGGACAAGTCCATTTAAGTTATATAGGCGGATAAGAGTTAATTGTGACAAAGGTAACTTATGAGTCTGCTTCAACACTCAACTGTACAGGTATTAATTTATATTCAAGGTTAAGACACAGGTACCTAAAACAATTAGCCAATTAATCCTACTACAGGTGTTGTTGATTAAAATAGAGAACTGTATACATGTAGCATTATACCAAAACTGAAATATGTTTCGAGAAAAGTCATGTTATAGTATTGGTGGAGATATCCAGATTTCTTTTGACTTTAGATGGGTTTTTGGGATGTTTTCTCTTTTTTTGTCTTTTTTGTAAAGTTTTTGAAATTTTTAACCGACTAATCATGAAAGTAGTATATTCCAGACGATGTTATATTACTGAAGTAACAAAAGTAGGAAGTTTTTTCAACAAATTATTATAAATTGATCGTACATGTACAAAGCTCTTTTGTCCTTAAATGCATGATCTTGAAATTATTACATTAATAGTTTTTATTTAAAGAAAGTATTTTCAAAATTACTGTTATGAAATTCTTGTGTTATACACAATTTTTCTAGTTGCAAATAAAATCTAGAAAACAAATTAAACCAGTTTGTATTGTTTATTTTGCTTCATTGTTGCAGTCTTTTAGATATGACAAAGATTGTGCATATAGGATGTAACAGATGTTGTATTTACACATACATATAATATTTTATAACTTCAATAGCCATATGTTTGAGAATCAATTATTGTAAACCTTCAATCTTGCTTACACTTGTCTTATTTTCAGTTTAGAATAGTTCATAGCAAGTTTAAGAGGTTTCAGTATCAAAATACTATAATAAATAAGGGTTTATTCCCTGACATTAAATTTGTCATTGTTATGAGTAAAATCAATGAAGTTATTTCATGTGATGCAAGTGATGTCACCACACTTATACAGCACACTAGGTTCTTCGACAAGTACATGAAAGTGTAAATGAAGGTAACACAGAGCACAGGAGCTTGATATTCTATTACTAATTGAATAATAAGAAATAACAGCAAATATACCCCTCTATACGCATACATGTGAACTTTTTTTGGATGATCAAGTGGGAGATTTTTCTTCAAAAAGAGGGAGATTTTAGAATTTTGCAATAAACAAAGAAGGAAGTTCTGACATCAAAAATAGAGAGATTTCTTTGATTTGTGAAAATACCCCTTATTTTAAGAAAAATCTTTGGAAGTATGGCTGCAGAAAGTGGGAGTCTCCCGCTTAAAGTGGGAGAGTTCACATGTATCTATAAGATATCTATTGTATAGAGGGGTATATTTGCCGTTATTTCTTAATTATTTGCTTATATTTTTTCAATTATTGATAGAATGTCAAGCTCCTGTGCACTGAGTTACAAACTTACAACCATATGAACACTGGAATCTTCTAGGCAAGCTGCTTACAACTAGTGACTAGGAACTACTTCACCTTCACTTTTGTGGGTAAGACTCCTAGCAGGAACTTGGAATTCTTTCATATGATGAAGCTATCCAGTAAGCTAATGGAAAGTTTGTTGTCCTGTTCCTGCCAGGGATCAGCTTAGTCTTTCCTCCACCAAAAGAGATACAACCGTTTCAAAACTCCTGACCAAAAACATACGTCTAAGGACAAGAATAGAAAATGTATTAAGCTTTTAAGCTCATATGAGCAGCCTGTCAAGTGCTCTGAGATGGTATGGTTTCCACCATTATACATAATTTCTTTAAACATCATTTAAACAGCATTGTAGATTTTACCAAACTTCACAGGAATTATTCTTGAGTGGTCCTAGGCTCTAAAAAAGTTAAATAAATGGTTCCATTCTGATGTACATGTATAATGTCACAATTACTGAAACAAAAAATTAATTCTAAAAAAAAAGATCTCCGCTGAAACTGGTAAGCATCTCAATGTCAAGAGCATTATGTATGTGGCATGTAGCATCACATCATTCTCAACTGAAGTTGATAAAAATAATTCAGTACATGTAGTTTCCTATGTAGACTAAGTGGCCCCTAGTCTGTGGCAAATTTTGACTCGAGGGTAAGCTTAAAAAACCTTTGAAGAAAGTAATGCTACATGCTAAATTTCAAAGCTCTAGGCATTATTGGAATGATTTAAAAGTCAAGGTTACAGAATTTACTCAAGGGAAGGGCTATTTTTGACCGTAGTAACATAATTTTCGTAACTTTTGCAGAAGTCTATTAGGAAATGCTATATATCCAAGCCCTAATAGTGTTACGGGAGATTTCCTATACAAGTTTACTTAAACTTAATGACACCCAGTTTGGCTAAATTTTGATCTTCAAGACTAGGGGCCACTTAGTCTACATAGGAAACTACATGTACTGAATTATTTTTATTCATGACCCTTTAGACAATTTTAGCTCAACCTTGGTTATCAGGTACTTCTGCAGTTGATCTCAGATGAGTGATCTAGTACCATCATGACCATTTTATCAGCCACTCAAACATTCTGCCATATGTATATTAAGTAAGAGATGGACCTAAATATTGAACATCCTAACTGAGGTACTGCAAATCCTGTTTAATCAAGTATAACCACTTCTATTTAAAATACAATTAAAAAGTAAATATGCATCTATCTTCATATTTTATTTTAGCTAATAAAATACAATACAATGATAAATATGTATAATGCATACATAATGCATACTTATATACTTATGTAGATATTTTAGACTAGACCTATTGATACAACAAAAATCCAAACAAGTTCTCTGGACATGTGTTGCCGGATCATCTAAGCTTTTAGAATGCATAAATTTTAACAAAGAAATTGCAATGCTGCTATGAAAGCTGTCCCAATAAGTCATGGACAAAAGCGCTTAATTTAATATATTATATTATGACTTTTTTACTGGTATTTAATATGCCATTTGCAGAGCGAACCTGCAAAAAACATCATTTCATTTGATTTTACAGAACAAATTTTAAGACTACCTGGTAACCCAATGCAGGTCATGCTCCAATGTCATAAATACATTATTTTAATGTATCTCCTTTTCAAAGTTTCACCTGTGTAAGGAATACACTTGATGTCAAGCCACCTTCTTATCTGTGACATACTGTCTTTTGAAATTCTAAACACATTTAACTTTTTACAATCTAAAATTTCTGAGATAATGCCAAAATTTTGATGTCCGTCTTCATTAACAATGTTTTCAATTCTCTCCACTGTTCATGAATGATGGCTTGACTTCGGGCATCCCATTTTTGCTCTTTTTTTTTGGTCACCTGTTACATATTTCTTATGGCACTTGTATAACAATGTTCACATAAATTAATATTCTAGAACCTTTCCAGTTTTTAAACATGGCCATTTGTGTAATTCAGCACTAAATGCAGAAATTGATAACCACCTGCTTGGCCGTGTCAGCGTCAAATATCGCCAGTTTTATTGTGCCTATATTAGCACTATACAAAGTAAAAGATGAATTGTTAACATATGCATCTTGCGATTTCCTTTAAATTTTGCCATTCAGCGTCAAACATATGAGCCGTGTCACGACAAAACCAACATAATGGGTTTGCGACCAACATGGAACCAGACCAGCCTGCACATCCGCGCAGTCTGATCAGGATCCATGCTGTTCGCTTACAAACCCTATAACAAGTAGAGAAACTGATAGCAAACAGCATGGATCCTGATCAGACTGCTCGGATGCGCAGGCTGGTCTGGATCCATGCTGGTCGCAAACCCATTATGTTGGTTTTGTCATGACACGGCTCATATGGTAAATGTCAACATCATACCATTTGGTAGATTTCTTACATTATTGACCACTTACTTTGTTTTAGAAATAATGTATTAAATATGTAACATGATCATTTTGGGCGTTGGCCGCATATGCACACCTCAGGCCTGTACTAATGCTTTAATATTTAATGTTTGTATACTTTCCTGGAATAATGTGTCATATTTTATTAAAATTGATGAAGATACACTTGTGCAAGATTATTTTAGGCTCCGGTGATTTTTTTGTTTGTTTCACAGCCATTGTTACGGACTATGTGGGACAGCCCTCATACAAGATGAAATTATATTGAAATAAACGCTAGGAAATTGGTGCATAAAAAGCTAATTCCAAACATAAGCATTTGTTTTTGTACAGAAAGCAGCGTGCCTATACAAAACTAGAACTGCCACTATCATGGCGTGAATACCCCCGCATACCACTTTGTCATAATCAACAGTGGCCATTAAGAGCTCAAGGAAAACCTCCCTGCCAAATCTGAGGTTACTAAGCCAGTGCATTGCTAAGTTATGTATTATACATGCTTCAAATGTGAAAATGTCAAAATCAATACATTGCGGACAGGACATTCTTTAGCAATTGAGAAGAAAAGCTTTTGTCAAAGTCCCTGTGACCTTGACCTTTGACCTCAAAATCATAGGGGTCACCTTATAGTCATGATCAACATCCATGCCAAATAAGAAGACTGTGGGTCAAAGGAATCTTAAGTTAATGGGTGGACAAACTTTTTGAAGTCAAAGTCCCTGTGACCTTGACCTTTGACCTTGTGACCTCAAAATCAATAGGGGTCATCTACTAATCATGACTAACCTCCATGCCAAATATGAAGACTGTGGGTCAAAGGAATCTTAAGTTATTGGGCGGACAAGCTTTTTGAAGTCAAGGCCCCTGTGACCTTGACCTTTGACCTGGTGACCTCAAAGTCAATAGGGGTCATCTACTTATCATGACTAGCCTCCATGCCAAATATGAAGACTGTGGGTCAAAGGAATCTTAAGTTATTGGGCGGACAAGCTTTTTGAAGTCAAGGCCCCTGTGACCTTGACCTTTGACCTGGTGACCTCAAAATCAATAGGGGTCATCTACTAATCATGACTAACCTCCAATCCAAATATGAAGACTGTGGGTCAAAGGAATCTTAAGTTATTGGGCGGACAAGCTTTTTGAAGTCAAGGCCCCTGTGACCTTGACTTTTGACCTGGTGACCTCAAAGTCAATAGGGTTCATCTACTTATCATGACTAGCCTTCATGCCAAATATGAAGACTGTGGGTCAAAGGAATCTTAAGTTATTGGGCGGACAAGCTTTTTGAAGTCAAGGCCCCTGTGAACTTGACCTTTGACCTGGTGACCTCAAAATCAATAGGGGTCATCTACTAATCATGACTAACCTCCATGCCAAATATGAAGACTATGGGTCAAAGGAATCTTAAGTTATTGGGCGGACAAGCTTTTTGAAGTCAAGGCCCCTGTGACCTTGACCTTTGACCTGGTGACCTCAAAATCAATAGGGGTCATCTATTAATCATGACTTACCTCCATGCCAAATATGAAGACTGTGGGTCAAAGGAATCTTAAGTTATTGGGCGGACAAGCTTTTTGAAGTCAAGGCCCCTGTGACCTTGACCTTTGACCTTGTGACCTCAAAATCAATAGGGGTCATCTACTAATCATGACTAACCTCCATGCTAAATATGACGACTGTAGGTCAAAGGAATCTTAAGTTATTGGGCGGACAAGCTTTTTGAAGTCAAGGCCCCTGTGACCTTGACCTTTGACCTGGTGACCTCAAAATCAATAGGGGTCATCTACTAATCATGACTGACCTCCATGCCAAATATGAAGACTGTAGGTCAAAGGAATCTTAAGTTATTGGGCGGACAAGAAAAAACCGACGGACGGACGGACGGCCGAAATGGAACAAGGGGCCATTTCTTTTGTTATTTTCTTTTGTTTAATAGAGGGCCAATGGCCCCTTACTCTATTGTTACGGAATGAACTCTATTGTTCTCTTTTGTTCTGTTTACAGTTAGATGGCCCCCTATCCCTATTCGGTAGTCCGGAAAGACGGCCGGACGGACAAGCTGATTCCAGTATACCCCCCTTACAACTTTGTTGTGCGGGGGTATAATAAGTATAAAATGGCACAGTGAATAGAAGCTTGTCAACAAAAACTGACCAGTAAAATAATTTTTTATCAAAGATGAGGCGAGAATATACAAAGTTCTTATTGATTCTTACACTGGGCATATAAGTATGATCAGGTCTCTAGGGGCATTTCTATAAAAATATGATGTTAATCTGCACATCAATGCCAACCTTGTATAACGGGTCTCGTTAAAATGTGTCTTTTCTACCTACCAGCACCCAATTGTATAAAGGTTTGTTAACTTAACCCTTGGTAAAATGCTAGTCGTTGGTCAAATTTAACCAACTTTGGTTAACTGTTAACTAACCAATCTGGTTAGTCAGTTGTATAAATAAAGATAACCCAAAAGTATAACCCAAAATCTATCCATGGATTTAACCCAGTGGTTGAATTTAACTAACGTTTATACATTTGGGTGCAGGTGTACAAATAACTTACACATTTAAAATGAAGGTCTATGTCAAAAACTAGTTTTGAACACTTATAGGTTAATAAATAAATTTTTATTTTTGATAAATTCTATTGATGAACTAGTCACTTTTCAATGTAATGGAATGGAAAAACGTGCAGCAATACTTCATACATTTTTATCACAAGAAAACATGTAATTCTCATGCAAATTTTAAGCACTGCAGTTATGTAATTTACATAACATTTATCTTATTAAAAAATGTTAAAATGGAAACTTCTTAAATGCTAAAGGAAATGAAAATATTGGTTTATTACATAATCACATTTTAATCAATTTGATACAAAAATTTGAAGTGAAATGAAAAAAGAAATCATTAATGAAGTTTTATCGAAGTATTACAAGAACTGATTTATAAGGATTTATCAGATTGATGTAGTGCATCTTTAAAATATATTACAAAAAGTCATCAAGCATATCTAGATGAATTAAGTATCAATGCTGGTATATTCAGGGGAAAAATTAATTATTTTATATTGAGAATATTTTTCAGGTAGGTCTAGATTGTCTCATCACTAGGATTTTCCCTTTAATTTCTTTACAAGTGCATCATTTTCTTTCTTCATCTGTAGATAATCACCAGTAATTTTCTCTAAGTTAGCTAGCACCTTCTTATTGCTCTCAGTTTCACTCTGAAATACATATAAAATAACTTTTTATAAGACAAAATATATTTGAATTAAATACCAATCTTACATAATTAAGGCTGCAGTGAATTCCATTACTTCTTTGACTGCTCAGGTAAATAATCTCTCTACACTAGTTCTTCGAGTATTTAATGTGTTTATCTTTGAATTCAATGCTGGGTGTAAAGTAAGAGTTCTAGAGGCTTTTCACAAAGCAATTATTACCTCCCCTGGTGGCCATTTTGGAAGTAAATATTGTAAAAATCGGGAACTATCTACATGTATAAAGATTTTCTAGTTTTATTGGATAACAACCCGAACAATATCTTCCTACAGCCACATGGACAGCTTCCTTACACGAAAGATAACTACATTCTTCGCTTCTTTTTATACCCCTACAAGACGATGATGAAAGATATCAATATTTACAACTTATCCCCTAAATTCCAATCTAACAATTAGTTTACCCATAAATTCAACCCATAAATTCAAAAAAAAATAATTACTATCTGAGGTTGCATTTAAGAAATTTGGGGGGGGGGGGGTTTCCTAATAATTCAACAAGAAACAAACCTGGTCCTCAAGTTCTCTTATCTCTCTCATAATCACACCAGTCTCTTCTACTGTTTTTATAAGTAACTCACAACTCTGTTATAAAAACAAAATATTTTAAATATGAACATACATGTATAAGATGCTCCTTTCAATTTTATATCAGATGTAAATTGTAAATGCTATAGTATTCCATAACTCCACACTTTTTTTTGTATGAGAATATCAATTTAGTTTTTTGTTTTTGCTGTTGTTTTTTTTTATTTCTTTTTTTTTAGAAATGAGTAATTATACATTGTTAACAAGTACCCCCTTTATAATTATAGAATAAATATATTATGAAATATATTCATTACACTAAAACCTCTTTGGAAGATTTTGTGAATTCCAATAAAATAGAAAAACAAGAGGGCCATGATGGCCCTGAAGTCGCTCACCTGTATATAGGCCCCCCGGAGCGGGTCAGTTTAAACCCCAGGGCTTTTATTTGAACAAACTTGGTAGACACCCATTAGAAGATGTTTCATGCTAAACATCTAAGGTCTAGCTCATTGGGTTTTTAAAAGAAGATTTTTTAAATTTTTTCTTTACACATATATTTAAAAACAATGACACCCCTAGGGCAGGGCCAGTTTTGACCCCAAAGCTTTTATTTGAACAATCTTTGTAGACACTTACTAGAAGATGTTTCATGCTTAATATCTAAACTCTAGCTATTCGGGTTTTTTCGAAGAAGATTTTTAAGTTTTTGCTATACACATATAAGGAAAATCAATGTCCCCCGGGGCGGGGCCAATTTTGACCCCAGGGCTCTTATTTGAACAAACTTGGTAGACATCCATTAGAACATGTTTCATGCTAAATATCTTAGCTCTAGCTCTTTGGGTTCTTTAAAAGAAGATTTTTAAGTTTTTACTATATTCATATAGGGAAAATCAATGACCCCCTGGGGTGGGGCCAATTTTGACCCCAGGGCTCTTATTTGAACAAACTTGGTAGACATCCATTAGAACATGGTTCATACGAAATATCTTAGCTCTTCCAATTTTGACCCCAGGGCTCTTATTTGAACAAACTTGGTAGACATCCATTAGAACATGGTTCATACGAAATATCTTAGCTCTTGCTCTTTGGGTTCTTTAAAAGAAGATTTTTAAGTTTTTACTATCTGCACATAGGAAAAATCAATGACCCCCTGGGGCGGGGCCAACTTTGACCCCAGGGCTTTTATTTGAACAAACATGGTAGACACCCATTAGAAGATGTTTCATGTTAAATATCTTAGCTCTAGCTCTTTTGGTTCTTTAAAAGAAGATTTATTAAGTTTTTACTATATACATATTGGAAAAATCAATAACCCCCTGGGGCGGGGCCAATTTTGACCCCAGGGCTTTTATTTGAACAAACTTGGTAGACACTCACTAGAAGATGTTTCATGCCAAATATCTGAGCTCTAGCTCTTTGGGTTTTTTAGAAGAAGATAATTAAAGTTTTTTTCTTTTGGTTGCCATGGCAACCAGAGTTCTGCATGGAATTAAATTCTTTGAACAATTTTCAAAGGTGACCACCAAAGGAACATTCCTGTGAAGTTTGGATGAAATTGGCTAAGTGGTTTATGAGGAGATGTCATTTAAAGTAAAAGTTTATGGACGGACGATGGACGGACGGACGCCGGACGAAAAGCGATCACAAAAGCTCACCCTGTCACAAAGTGACAGGTGAGCTAAAAAATGGTGGTGAAATTTCTTTAATTTGACCTTGAAAATCAATGACATTTAAAAAAATAATGGTGGTGAAATTTCTTTAATTTGACAATTTGACCTTGAAAATCAATGACATTTAAGTAAAAATCCTGTCCAGGTCCATCTACTATCTGTCGAAGTTCAAAGACTTCAAGCTTAAGACGCACAGGAATATATAAACGTGTTATATAAATTAAAGATAACTAACCTCATGTAATGCTGCCAGGTATCTGTATGCTTTCTTAACAGACTCGTCCTTCTTCGCATCCTATAATATCAACATTCAGGAAAAAAACTTTAACATATACTATATCCCATAAATAGGCCTAAATATATTCAGTGGTCCCATAGGCCAATAAGGTAGATTGCCTTTGTTGCAACTGTCTAGCCTCTTTAAATAAAGACTTTATTTATCATCATCATCATTATCATAGTCTTTGTTATAGATGACTTGTTTCTATCATAAACATCATCTCAAACTGAACTAACATTGCTAGTACATGTAATTGCTAACAAATATTTAGACTAATAAAAATGTTCAAATCAGGCTAACATAAAACGTCATGTGAATAAAAGATAAGCATTTAGACTCACTTGAATGTTTTACATCTTTATAAAATATAGATACTTACTCTAAATATAAGTTCATCTGTGACTGTGAACTGACGATCCAGCTTGCCCGATAGTTGATTAATCTCTTTCTGAACTGTCCTAGTATCTACCAGTACCTAGTTAATACAAAAGTATTTAGTTAATACAAAAGTTCATAGTTAATACAAAAGTACCTAGTTAATACAAAAGTACCTAGTTCATACAAAAATAATACATTGTCTTTTAAAATAATTACACACTTGAAACAATTTTCACTTTACTGCTTCATGTATACATGTATATTCCCTTTTACATATGCAAAAATAGCTGGTGAATTTTTACACTACCATATCATATTTGTTATAAGTAAGTCAACAGTTATTTTTGTGAGGCATCAAAAAAAGTGATGCCTGGTTAATAAATACCTGTTTAACTAACCAATAGTTACCATAATTTTGCTGCAAGTGACCAACTAATAACCCCACATGATTCAGCACAGAGAGACAAATGACTATAAGTCTCAATGTCCCAGATCTATTGTCACAGTAAAAATTACGCCTCGTCTGAGGCTTGAACCAGTGACTCATAGTGGATAACAAACACCTAGCTCTCCTTTCTGTAAGAGCTAAGCGGGCAAACAGCAGTGGTATACAGTTGGCATGGATAAGCAAGCTAGGTGACTATACTGGTAAAATAGGCAAATACATTTTCACCATAGCATTCAAGGAGTTAAAATGGTTGACACAGTATTTCTATAAGTTATCTCACCTTATCAATTTCCATTTTCTGTTTTTTAATATTGCCTACAATTTCCATAATACGCTTAGTGTATGCCGACCTATTCACATCTTTGGTCATTCTTTCATACTCAGAATGCTGAAATTTAAAAGTATTACTGATTAAGATATATGTAATAATATCTTTATTAGTACATGTAATAACATCAAATTACACAGTCAAGAAAATATATCATCATTTATAGTAAATAATAATGGTAAAGATTAATAAGCATAAGAAGTGTAATTGCCTGCTTTTATGTTGGTTCTTTTTTTTTCTTTTTTCCTTTTTTTTCTTTTTTTTTTGGGGGGGGGGGGGGGTTAGGGGCTGAGGGGTGAGGATTAAGTTATGCTGATGCTGTCTGTCATGATGATTTTCCAGGTTAACTGGGGGAATAAGACCATATGTGCCCCTTGATGCATCATTTCAGGTAGATGTCAGCACCTGAGTAGTAACACAGACTTTCCATAAGTCAGCCGAAGAGCTTCCTTCTATGAAACAATTCAAAGCCCCTGGCAGAATTCATACCCACAGCAGTGACTAGCAAGTGATTTGAATTTATTTACCTTAACTATTAGGTCATGAAGGACCCATAAAACACAAATAATTATCAAACAGATGTAAATAAGAAGGCCATATGATAATTCTATTGGTGAGTATAAATAACTTTAACATATTTCATTATGCAAACTATGTTATTGCCATTTCTTTGAAAAAATTGATACACAAATGTTACTGTAATTAATCTTATAAGTTTAATTTAAACCAAGTTACCAGTTGTTTGGCAAGCTCCTCTTTATTTCTGGCCTCATCCTGAACTTGTTTCATCTTTTTTCTAAACTCTTTAATTTCCTCCAATTTCAGCTGGGCCTCAGACTTGAAAATAAAATTGAGCCGCATCACGACAAAACCAACATAGTGTGTTTGCGACCAGCATGGATCCAGACCAGCCTGCACATCCACGCAGTCTGATCAGGATCCATGCTGTTCGCTTACAAACCCTATAACAAGTAAAGAAACTGATAGCGAACAGCATGGATCCTGATCAGACTGCTCGGATGTGCAGGCTGGTCTTGATCCATGATGGTCTAAAATGCATTATGTTGGTTTTGATTGAAATACATACAAATCAGATATTACAAGCACTATTACGAGCACAACATAATTTATATACTTAATGTAGAATTGATTAACATTCATATCATACATCTAACAATTTACTATGTGATTCTCATCAGCTATTAAGAAAAACAATGTGTCAACACTATCATATAGACAAGATTATGTTATGAGCGCTTTCATAAACATGCCTGGTAAACAACAAAGCTACTGAACAGTACATGAACAAAATGTTAACAATTGCTGATTTGCAAAGATACACATGTACAACCCTATTTTGAAATAAAATCTGTGAATAACAAAACAAATGCAAATTAATTGGATCAAAATAGGTAAGGATCAACTTTAGGATCAAGATCAATACTTATATCAACTGTAAAATTCCCATATCTTGTTAAAAATCTATTTATTAATTCTAAACTTTCATAAACATGCAATTTTAAGTCCAATTTTATTGAGTAAATATTAAATATTTATTCTATGAGGATAAACAATGGTGAATAATTTTTAAATCTGATCCAGATCTTGATCCTTGAATCTTAGTGAACACAGCGCCTGGAACTTGGTCTCTACTGGTCACATGTGTAGTAACAGTCAATGCTAACAGGCTTAGAGTTAATTTTATCATATAAACCGCAGCGCAGGAGTGTAATAAAGCCATTTAATAACAAGGGTGCCATAGTCACAAAATACGCCCGTTTACGAAAGCTTTAGATGGAGATGGGGGCATTATGGATAAGTGTTATCTAGCAAGCAAGTTTTTATTCTTGGCACTGTGTTGTTAAATGAACCTTAAAACAAATCAGTAGGGAAGATATGCACAGGATGTGTGACCTTGACCTTGGTCGCAGGGACCTGAATTTTATGCACGGCACTCAGCCTCACAATGATGAACATTTGTGCCAAATTACATGTATATTGAGATCCCTCTATGCATGTAGAAGTTTTGCTCCAGACAAGTGTTTTTCTATGAGCTCTAACTGTGACCTTCACCTTTGACCTAGAGACTTGGTTCATGTGCAGGGCACTACTTCTCATGGTGGTGAATAATTCTATAAAGTAACATTAAAATTCCTCCATGCATGTAGAAAATATGCTCCGGACAACATCTGGATATTTAATCATCTCCAGTGACCTTGACCTTGCAAATTTTAACCTAAATTAAATGTGTCACACCTGTAGTCATGATAGTTACCATTTGTGTTACAATCCATCAATAAATGATGACTAAATGGTCCCTATACACATCTTCAAATTTTTATCTGAACTTTGACCTCTATGTGTAACCTTGACTTTGGTCGCAGGGATCTGAATTTTGCGTGCGACACTCAGCCTCACAATGGTGAAAATTTGTGCCAAGTTATATTGAAATCCCCCTATGAATGTAGAAGTTTTGCTCCGGACAAGCATTTTTCAATGAGCTCTAAGTGTGACCTTGACCTTTGACCTGGATCATGCATGGAGCAATACATATCATGGTGGTGAACATTTCCATAAAGTATTAAAAAAATTCTTCCATACATGTAGGAGATATGCTCCAGACAAAATCTGGATATTTCACCATCTTTAGTGACCTTGACCTTGCATATATTGACCTAAAGTACATGTGTCACAGCTGTAGTCATGATAATGACCATTTGTGTTACAATCCCTCAATAAATGATGATTAAATCGTCCCTATACACATCTTCATATTTTTATCTAAACTTTGACCTCTATGTGTGACCTTGACCTTGGCTGCAGGGACCTAAATTTTGTGCGCGCGACACTCCGCCTCACAATGGTGAACATTTGTGCCAAGTTATATTGAAATCCCTCTATGCATGTGGAAGTTTTGCTCCGGACAAGCGTTTTTCAATGAGCTCTAAGGTGTGACCTTGACCTTTGACCTAGAGACCTAGTTTCATGTGCGTGACATGGCTTCTCATAATGGTGAACATTTCTATGAAATTTCATTAAGTCCCTCCATGCGTGTAGGAGATATGCTCCGGACAAAATCTGGATATTTCATCATCTTTAGTGACCTTGACTTTGTATATATTGACCTAAATTATATGTATCACAGCCATAGTCTTGATAATGACCATTTGTGTTACAATCCCTAATAAATGATGACTAAATGGTCCATATACACATCTTCATATTTTTATCTGAACTTTGACCTCTATGTGTGACTTTGACCTTGCGCAAGGACCTGAATCTTGCGCGCGACACTCCGCCTCACAATGGTGAACATTTGTGCCAAGTAATATTGAAATCCCCTCTATACATGTGGAAGTTTTGCTCCAGACAAGCATTTTTCAATGAGCTCTAAGTGTGACCTTGACCTTTGACCTAGAGACCTGGTTCATGTGCACGACACTGCTCCTCATAGTGGTGAACATTTCTATGAAGTTTCATCAAAATCCCTCCATACATGTAGGAGATATGCTCCGGACAAAATTGGACGCCTCCCGCCCGCCCGCCAGGGGCGTTCCCATAATACGTCCCGTTTTTCAAACGAGCGTATAAAAATGATATGACACTAGTGTAATAACACTTTGAAGTGACGTCATTTGCCCTAAAAATAAACATAGCGTTAAAGCGTGCTAATGTTAGCTTTACACTATAGGCATGTCAATGAAAAATGACTCTTAAATTTTTTTTACAGTTTACTGTTTTTATTTTATATGTGATAAATAGAATATTATATTTGCGTAGATTTAATACTAAATTAATTTTACTCGTTAAATAAAACAATATTATGTTCGCCAAAGGCTCGCATAATATGATTTTATTCAACTTTATTTATTCAATAAATTTAGTATTAAACCTACACTCATTCAATATCCTCTATATATTATTTATGTTTAAATATGATAATTTTAAAAAAAATTCATAATAATTATATAACATGTAAAAAATACCTCAGTTTTAGAACTAAGTTCCTTCAAATTTCTGAACTGGTCTATGAGAGGAGCCCTATGTTTCTCCCACTGACTCGCTAAAGTTATTAACCTTTGTGCACTTGAATCTACAACAGTCTGAAATATAACATGTACATTTTACAAAACAAATTACTCTTACTGTAAAGAAATTGTTCGAATATTATCAGAAATGAATGTAAAAAGATGTAAACATCAAAATGCTGAAAGTACAGCTTAACCTTGCTCTGCATCATTTGTATAATAACCTCAACTCTTAAATAACAAGAAACATGGCAATGCCACAAAATCAGGTTTTCAGTTATCACCATTGTAGATAAATATGTTGTAGTTGAAATACAAATACAAACAACAAACAATGTAACTATGTGCAATGTAAATCATGAATAATGTAGGAGGAATTGCAAACAGAAGAAGTGTTCACTATATATTCTGTATAAGGAAAAAAACAATTGAGCCATAATTAGGTCAAAAATTATACAATCACAAAACCCTGACAATATGCCCCAGGGCACTTGATGACAAAGCTTCTGTGAAAGTTTGGTCAAAATCTGTTGAGAAATGTAGGAGGAGTTGCGCACAGAAGAAATTGTTTACGCCCGCCCATCCGCCCGCCGACATACCTCAATCTAATAACCAGTTTTTTCCTTCAGAAAACCTTGTTAATAAAACAAAATGCATCAATTCTAAAGATATAACTTTTGAATGGACATTGTATTCCAAAACTACAAGTTTTTTCCCTCTCCCTTTTAAAAACTGATGTGCAACAGACATGACATTCAAGCTAAGTAATTTCATGGGAATTTTACAGGAATTATAGAAATATCCACAGCAATTACAGAAATATTTTTCATATGAATGACTGTCAAATACCACTGGGATAAAAAATATCAATATACATCTCACCAAAAATTCCCATCACATATATAAAACCATCTATCTTAAATAAGATGATTATTATTTGTTTGCTTGTTTGGGTTTTACATCACACCAACATAGTATAGGTCAAATGGCGATTTTCCAACTTTACTGGTGGGGGAAGACCTTGGGTGCCCTTCAATACATGTACATTATTTCAGACAAAAATTGGCACCTGAGTAGAACCAACAAAGTTATGTAAGCTAGCTGGATAGCTTTCTCACATGAAAGAATCCAATGTCACCGTCAGGATTCAAACCCACAGTGATGAGGGGCAAGTGGTTCAGCAACCTTTACCACTCGGTCACGGATGCCCCTTATATAATTATTTAAGCAGTGAAGATCAATATAGACCAGATAATTTGCACACTCCATTTTTCCAGAATAATCATTTTTATAGTGCAAAATGATCCAAAATTGAAAGGCAATTAAATGCTTCTAACTCTATACATTCATTTATTTCTTATGTTTTACAACTTTTTCCATTTTAAATATGTAAGAATAACAAATTTTATGTTTTTTAGAATTTTGGACCCAAGTGGAGCTCTTTTATTCTCATTTTTTTCAAATGTCAACCGAACATTAAAAACAAACCTGTAACTTAGCTATATTATTCTCTGCATCAGGTAATAAATCTAGCGTCCGCTTCTTCACTTTATATCCGTCTTCTTTCTCAGCATTTGCTCTATTCTGATTGGCTATCTCCTCACCCATTTGTTGAATACTGGCAGTAAATTTTTTCACCTCAAGATCAAGGTTGTCAAGACGAGAGGTCAAATTGTTCAGTTCCTCTTTAAGCGAGTTGACCTCATCTTCTCTTTCCTTTTGTTTTTCCTTTCATTCCATAAAAATAAAAAAAGACATCCATTTCAATTGTTTTCATAAGTTGATAAAATATATCAAATCATAAATGTATTCAGTCTATCATCAAACTGATATACCCGGTAACCCAAATATAAGCCCTAATGACATCTTGTTTCTGATGACAATCTCTAATACTCATTGTCTGTTTTAAGCAATCAAGTGATTGATATCAATTAATTATGACATTCATAGACATAATGAGGTAATAATGATAAAGTTCAGTTGATTAAGTGATCATCAAAACTTTACTATTTATTCTTCATACCTGACTGCTACATGTACCTTATTTTATTTGCATTTATTTTCAACATAGAGTTTTCAACAGTCATTATAGGGAACATATAAAGTTCAAACGCATCAGTTATGGTGGATATATAAATATTTTTAGCACACCCTGGAAGCACACCCGGGAGGCTATCATCAGGGCATGTGGCAGTTACACCCGTTATTAAAAATTTGGCCTCATAATGTCATTTTAGGTTATGTAATCATCAACATTTACCAAAAATATCCACCAGTAAATGTTTTGTAAATGCTCCAACACAATACTTATAAACACTTACATTTTTAGTAAAAAACAACACATTTGCTTATGCCTCAATAATTTGGTTAAGAATAAACTAAAATCATAAATTTACTGGTTTATGATTACTAAATTGGTATCGCTGCTTATCACATTACTATTTCTTAGCTCAATTAAGTAGTCATCTCATGACAGTGCTTTCAATCGCAACCAATTTTAAATTTCCGGGGTTACTCAAATTATTTCCAGGTGTATATTTAGTCAGAAAATCAAACTGTTGCTAAAACTAGACTTTACCTCCTCTGTCTGCCCTGCAGAAGCTTGAACTTGTACTTCTGATATTGCTTTATCTTCATCCTGTAATATAAACAAACCTGTGTCACCATGTTGAGTAAAATATGTGTTTTTTTTGTTTTGTTTTTTGTTGTTTTTTAAGACACATTTGCACATTCAAAATCAAAAATGGTATACATTAAAGTTACATTTTGCTCATTATTTTACTGTCAAGTTGAGGTAAATATGTTGTATACATGTATTTCAAAAGAATAACTATTTTTTATGACCATTGTACAATAATTGATAATCATAATAGTTTAGGATAAAATATGAAAACTGCCTTGAAAATAAAAAAGACTGCCTCACTCTTCTTATAATTTAAATATCATCAATATTATTTGAAGGATATATAAAGATAGTAAGATACTTATGTGGGTCACTGGGTTATTGATTACTCAGGTGACATTTATTATAAAATTGAAAACAAATATGATAAAATGTAAGTTTATTTCAATTTTCCCTGAACACTCACACTCACCAATTACTATTGCATGGGCATAATGTCACTTTAGACAATGTAACATGAAGGTATCTTCAAGAAATTTATATCATGGATAATGGTCTGGCATTCTTGTTAATTCATTAGCATAACTTTCAGATCAAATGAACTGGAGAAAATATATGTTACTTACACCTTTTAACATCAAAATCTTACCTTGGCAAATAATAATTTTTCAGTATGTGTGAAACGCGAGCCTTTGGTTTTGGCAGCACCGGAGCCACGGCCACTGATAGAAGCGAGAATCTGCTGCAGGTCCTGGGACACGCCACTGCCCGATGCAGCTTCACTACGTTGACGATCTTGTCGTAGTTGGTCAGTAATTCGTTTATTTATCCGCTGACGCTTTCTATCCCTGTATTCCTAAAAGTAACAAAATTATCTATAAATAACATAAGAATGAATCTTATACAGCACTTTAGCAATCATTTTATGGAAAATAATCTGAAACATAAAGTAAAAAAAAACAAAAACAGAAAAGCTGTCACATGACTTTGGTGTCTCAAAACACTTTTATGCAAAATGGCAAATTTTCTGACCTTGTATCTTAACAGATATGAATTTCGGATTTTTAATAACCATATTCTAAATGTCGGTTGTACATACAAAATCATGTAGCTACCTAACATTTATGTAACATTACTTAACAAGAACGTATCAAATACCTGTCAAGATAGATGAGTTCCCAGATTATACTGGATTCTCATTTCAATGTTTTTATATTAATTACCTCTACTACATAACCTTGTAAGGCAAATGCTAAAATGTTATTAAAATGTGACCCGTTCACCTATCCAATACACATGATCACATTTAACTAGTAATGAAAGTACCTGTTGAGACAGTCTAGATGCTAGGCCAGACTGGTTCCATTCTGTTTCCCATTCTTGTTGTGCAGTGACGTCTGCTGCATTTGCCTCAAGCAGGGATGGTATTAAGTCATTATGGTCTAAAGTTTGGCATGTTACATATGGAAGACTAGACTGGTAGTAGGACTTCAAAGCTGTAAAAGTTGTAAAAGTGTACCAGTAAATGTGCATGCATCAATTACTTCCCCTTCAAAAAATGTTCTGAATACTAGTACTAAGTATTTCTTTATGTTTCTTCAGGTCATTCCCGCATCATGAGGGTTAAAATAATAGCAACAATAAATTAATGTCTCAACAATAAATGTTGAGTTCATTGGAACAAATCACACCAGTTGTAAGATTCTCTTTTGACTTCCACAATCCACACTGGTGCCATTTTTTGGTTACGGCACCTAGGAAGCAGTCATCTAGTATGACTTAAAGCTCAATTTAAGGTCCCCAAAATAAAATTATCAGGAGTATGAGATTCAAACAAGAATATACAAATTAGTTCTATACTTTTCAACTGAAATACTGCTCTGAATGGATACACAACCAATCAAAATTCAAATCTTGTCACAAATATATTGATGCAGAAAATAATACACATTCTAATATGACTTTTATCTGACTAACACTAAAAATGTCGCATACCTTGTGAACTATTTAACTTTAAGTAGTAAGCTAAAAATACCTATGATTTTTTTTAGCTGATCAGGCTTTGAATGATGAAATTTACATATAGAATATTGTTGCATTTATCACAATGTATTGTTGATAAAGTAAGTTCAAGTAACAATAAACTTTACCTTCAACATCTAAAATCCAAATTCCTATCATATTCTATAGTTTTTCTTTAGAAACTAGAAATGTGTCATCATGCCACGGATGCCCCCGCATGCAGCCAAAATTTTAGATGGTATTAATTAATTTAAATTATTTTTTTTTATTTTAAGTTCAAAGCCCTTAAAACTTTTCAATGTTAACACAAACCATTTTCATACAATGTTCAAGGCACTGAAATTATTCAGTCTTAACCTTTTAGAAATAGCATATTGCATATTTGTAGCCAAAATAATGGCTACATACATTTCCACAAAAGTATGAGTGCTGAAACTGAAAGTTCAAAATTTTTCCAACATTCAGGAAAGATAAGTTTGTCTAAAATCATTGAACCACGACCAAATTCAAACTTAAACTGCTTATTCCTAAGATGTATCTATATTATTTTCAAAGTGAAAGGGACATAACTCTGCCAAAAAAATCATCAAACCATGACCAAATTCCAACTTGACCTGCCCATTCCTTTGACATATCCATATGTCAAATTTAAGTTGAATATGTAACACTGTTGGGTAGATAATGAACAGAAACTGTAAATTTCATATTATTTTCAAAGTAAAAGGGGCATTACTTTGCCAAAATCATTGAAACCATGACCAAATTTGAACTTGGCCAGGGCATTCTAAAACATATCCATATGTCAGTTGAGTGGAATGTGTTGTACCTTTGGGGAAATAATGAACGGAAACTGAAAATTTCATATTATTTTCAAAGTAAAAGGGGCATAACTCTGCCAAAAATCATCGAACCATGACCAAATTCGAACTTGACCTGTATTTTCTCATGACAAATCCATATATCAAGTTTCAGTTGAATGTGTTGTACCGTTGGGAGATAATGAACGGAAACTGAAAATTTCATATTATTTTCAAAGTAAAAGGGGCATAACTCTGCCAAAAATCATCGAACCATGACCAAATTCAAACTTGACCTGTATTTTCTCATGACATATCCATATATCAAGTTTCAGTTGTATGTGTTGTACCGTTGGGGAGATAATGAACGGAAACTGAAAATTTTATATTATTTTCAAAGTAAAAGGGGCATAACTCTGCCAAAAATCATCGAACCATGACCAAATTCGAACTTGGCCTGTATTTTCTCATGACATATCCATATGTCAAGTTTGAGTTGAATGTGTTGTACCTTTTGGGAGATAATGAACGGAAACTGAAATTTCATATTATTTTCAAAGTAAAAGGGGCATAACTCTGCCAAAAATCATCGAACCATGACCAAATTCGAACTTGACCTGTATTTTCTCATGACATATCCATATGTCAAATTTGAGTTGAATGTGTTCAACCGTTCTTAAGATAATGAATGGAAACTGATGATGACGGAATGACAGAAGGACGGAAGGACGGAAGGACGGAATGACGGAACAGGGTAACACTATATGCCCCGGCCATTACATGGCGGGGGCATAAAAATCAAATATAATGAAGGACTTTTGTGATTATCAAAATCAGAGATGACTTAACAACAACACCAGTATCTACAGATATTTATAAACCTTATTACATTTCGGTTAACGATATATCATACCTTTAGGTATTTTCTTAGTGAGATCAGCTGAACCCTCTGGTGATGTTAAATGCATGGAATGGAAATGAAACATACAACATGTGCCCTGAAATATATAAAACATACATGTGCCCTGAAATATATTAAGCATACAACATGTGCCCTGAAACATATAAAACATACAATATGTGCCCTGAAACATATAACTGGTTTTATCATTGTATCTCTATTCCCTACACAGAAAAAAAAATGTGTGTATTTGAGTTTATTTATACTCGCCACCATTGCCAATATGGGTAATTCCTCCAGAAGAGTATTAGTCATTTTATACTTTGGAGGATAGTGTAATATACAGATACAAATAGATGCCTCAGTTTCTGAAGTTTCTCCTGCTTCTTTAGCATGCTGAGTGTTTCAAGCCTCAATGTCAAGATTACAAGTCTCGCACTCTTACTGATTGAGCTATGCAGGATGGTAATACACTTTCACTGCAATATATTTGAGACCATTTATCATTACTTTTAGGGGTGCCAATATTAAAAATCTTTATTAACCCAAAATAATAAGTAAGGTAGGCGCAGATGGAAGAAGACAAGTGAAATGGTGAAATAAAAGGAAAATCAAAATTTGCCAAGAAAAAATGAAATAAGTGTGATGTAAACACCTGATAACAATATATAATAAATATAAACAAACCTCTCTTTGCCATGTTGGAGGTTTACCTCGCCAGGTTATACCTCTATGTTTGAGGTAAGGTGGTACCCATGGTGATGACAATTGTCTAGCTAATGTATTCGCTATACTTCTCTGTAGTAACACAGATGAACCTGTGTCATAAAATATGTGTTTACTTGAGATGTACCATAATTTGGATAGATTATCCTAATGCCTGTAGTTGTTTTGATTTGTAATTTGTATATTTTTCATTAGTTATTACAGTAAATTTAGATTGAGACCCATCAGCAAGTACATTGTATATAGTATAAATTCTTTGTACACATTTTACTATGGCTGGAAAATTTTATTTACTCTTATTTCTAGAGTTACATGCAGAAAAGAATACAAAAAGCAAAATAAAGTGAAAATAAATAATATTCAATTCTTATGTTCCCACATAACTTATTTACCAAAATTCTTTATTAAAGATCACACATGTTTTTTTGTTTGTTTTGTTTTTATCCTAAATAAATTGACTATGATGCAAAATGCTTTCATGAACTTAAGGTTGATTAAGCTGTATAGAACAAGAGCTGTCCGTAAGACAGCGCGCTCGACTTTTTTAGTGCTTGCCTATAATACAAAACATTGACAGTTAAGGGCCATAATTCAAATAAAATCTTTGACAGAATTACCTTCTCCTGGACATGTTTGGGAATCATGATTGTAAACAAGTATTCCAACTTTCAAATTAATATCTCAAACAGTTCAGTCAAAAAGTGGACTGGTACTAAAAACTTAACCAAGATTCTAAGTCGATAAAAGGCCTTAATTTTTAAAACAAATCCTTGACAGAGTTACCTTCTCTTGCGTACAGATGGGGGTAATGATGTGAAATAGCATTAAAAGTTTCAAAGCAATATCTCAAAGGGTTAAGGCAATAAGTGGATTTTACCCATATTCAATGTATTTTCTAAGTCAAAAAGGGGCATAATTCTGTCAAAAACCTTGACAGAGTTATGTCCTCTTGTCTGTTGATGAAGGTCGTGATGGTAAACAAGTATGGTCAGTTTCAAAGCAATACCTCAATGGTTTTGAAATAAAGTGAGGTGGTACAAAAAAACTTAACCAAGATTCTAAGTCGATAAAAGGCCTTAATTTTTAAAACAAATCCTTGACAGAGTTACCTTCTCTTGCGTACAGATGGGGGTAATGATGTGAAATAGCATTAAAAGTTTTCAAAGCAATATCTCAAAGGGTTAAGGCAATAAGTGGATTTTACCCATATTCAATGTATTTTCTAAGTCAAAAAGGGGCATAATTCTGTCAAAAACCTTGACAGAGTTATGTCCTCTTGTCTGTTGATGAAGGTCGTGATGGTAAACAAGTATGGTCAGTTTCAAAGCAATACCTCCAATGGTTTTTGAAATAAAGTGAGGTGGTACAAAAAACTTAACCAAGCTCAAATACACTTTCTAAGTCAAAAAAGGGCCATAATTCTGTCAAAAACCTTGACAGAGTTATGTACTCTTGTCTGTAGATGGAGGTTATGATGGTGAACAAGTATGGTAAGTTTCAAAGCCATACTTGTAATACTTCTGAAATAAAGTGGGGTGGTACGAAAAACTTAACCAAGGTGTGACGCCAACGCTAACGCCGACGCCGACGCCGGGGCGAGTAGGATAGCTCCCCTTTTCATAGAAAAGTCGAGCTAAAAAATTGTCAAACATAACTGATAAATTAACTTGTGTAAGAATAGATCACATTTTTCGCAAAATAAAAAAAGAAACTCTGGCCATATTTACCTAAAGTTTCTTCAGTTGTTTCCACTGTTTCTTTGGGAAGTTTGTCAACAAGAAACATGAATATTTTCCTAATATCAGCTTCACTAGAATATAAAAATGTCTGGTAACCAACATCACCACGGTAACCAAGTTCCTGAGAAAAAAAAATACATGCAAATTACTTACTACTGATGCAAAACTGGCTTTCCTGAAAATATTACATGATGATGTATGGAAAAAAACAACAAAGGGCCATAATTCTGCAAAAATAGATAAAATCATACAGTCTTGATATTTTGTGTCAGTGCAGTTGATGACAATCATACTTTGAAAATTTAAATTCCTAGAGAAATGTAGAAAGAGTTACACTTATAAGACATTGTTTACACCTTACTGCCCCACCTGCAGACGCTTTTCTAATTTAATAACCTGCATTTTTCCGTGGAAAACCTGGTTAACAATGTGTTTGTAATCCAAAGTTCTAACACAACACAAATGCTCAATAAAAACCATTATCAAAATATAAGGTTGCTTAATTAAATACCTGTAGATGATTAGCAAGTGTGGTTCCCATTCTGAACTTGGCAGACATTGCCTGGGGAAGAGCATTGGGTAGATCAACATCACCAATGATAGTTTTGATACATCTAACAGCGCAAGCAACTATCACCTCCGTAGAGAATTGTTTCAAGCTTTGTACATCATCATCAATGTCACTGTAATATAAACACACTTTATCTATGCTTTTACGACAATACATAAGGAAAAAATAACTTGCCATTTTACAGCACACAACACCTTATGAGAATGATCCCTATTTTGAGAAATTAACAAAAGGGCTAAGTTGATAGTGACATTATTAATAGCAGTCCCCCTCACAACTTATTGCATTACAAAAAATGTAAATTTAACATTACATGTATTCAAAAAGACATAATTATAGTATAATAATGATGTTATTTGAATATGATGGGTTTGTTATAATACAGCATGATTTTTCAAATTTATATATATACATTGCAATTTTTTTTTATTCAATTTTATGTCTTTAATCCAATCATGTAGTCAGTGGCCAATGTATTTACCTTTTATCCTCTTTTATGTAAATACTATTATTAATATCACAATTAATTGTCAGAACCCTCTGACTGTCTTTTTAAAGTTTCGACTCCTTAAATTTATAACAAATCTACTTCAGCAGTTTCTAGAGGAATGGGTTATCAGACATATCCTGTCTACGACTCCTCTCTCCCCAACCCTTGACTTTCACCTACATTTTCATCTTTGGAATTGAAATGTCTTTGATAATATTTTAATGAAATGTCTTCTATCCTAAAATATGCCAAATATATGCAAAGTATACATTAAGTATATACATTCATATATACTAAGTCACATGTGAGGCTTATTGTTATATAACTGTCTACCATCTGTCTGTCTGTCTGTATGTCCATCTATAGATACTTCAAAACCCTCTTTTGAGTATTATGTGCAGGTGAAATGTGCCATAGCAGAGTAGGGGCATTGAGACAAGTTTTTTACCATTTTTATGCCAACACAATGCCAGATCAAAGTTTTGGTGTAAAAATAGCAATTGATATTTCCAGTATGGCATCTTATCATCTGAGAGCCCATGCAGGACAGAGCCATTACCAGCAAGTTTGGAAAACCAGAAGTGAAGGTCTATACTGTAGAATTTAAATTGTTACCACTGATAAGTCATATTTCTGTGTTACCCATATTTCCATGCATAAGCCGCCTCAAGTGCCTCCTAGACTTCAAGCGCCTGTCAGGAGTTTTACATTCACTTTCTCATTGAAATTTTAAAATGTTACATAATTACAAGTCTTAGAAAACTTATTATTCTATTCAGATGAAAAGAAAAATAAATTTTTTCACCATTTTACTTTTAGTTTTCATACCTTTTAAGACAATTTGAGGGTTGACTACAAAACTGCAGTAACTTAAATTATTGTTCATTTAAAATTTAAAAGAGAAAAACCAAGACAGAAATATCAATAATAATATTTAATAAAAAAGACTAGAACGTGATCTCGACTACAAAATAAGAAACAGAATGGCGAGCAAAAGCAAAATAACCTATATATAGGTAATTAAACAACCTATCAAATTCAATAACAGAAATTTGAAATAATCCAATCAGCAATCTAAAAAATAAACCGTTGACCAACGAGATAAGCTGATATAACCAGAGGTCAACTCGATTCAAATAAAAACTTTATCATTCACAAGAATTAATCGATTTTAACAGGTGTATTAAAATACGCTATATGAAATAAAGAAGGACTTACAACAGTTTTGCAATCAACCCTCAAATTGTCTTTGTTCAACAACCATTGAAATACTTGATAAATGCCATAGAGAAAATCCCAGCTTACAGACAAGACTAGGTATAGATGTTATAAAAAATAAAATTTACTATTGTTTTTGCTATTGAAACTGTTAAAATTTTAATTGCCTTGGAAATATGAGTAAACAACTTTCACTCACTAGGCAGCTGATGGGTGTTAATCACCATGTTATGTTCATTGACAATTTTAATTCATTGCTAAATGCAAAGATTAAATGGAATAAACTTTTATGTAATTGGCAAAAAATTTATTCTTCTAACTTATGTCTTAAGCAGTAAAGTACCATGGATATATGAGGCACTGGTACATGGAGAAATGGAGTCTTGGAGAACTGACAAGCAAAATTGGATGATGAATCTCAGGTTTATATAATTATTAAGAATGGATAGAAATCTTCATAACTTTTCCCATGACTGTTAGATTGCAACTCACGTTTAAAACTCTGAATTTTGTCTATCTACAGGTAAAGTTCTAAGAAAGCTGAAGTAAACCATGCAAATCTTTTTACTTTTCATATTTGTTACATTTTAGTAAATAAGTTTTTATGTCTCTGTAATTGCCGGTAAATAGCTTATTCGCTAATATTTCTTGTAAATTGTAAACCGATTCTTTATTAATTTACACCACTGTACACTGTAAAACCGTGTTTTTTTTAGTAATATCGGAAAAATGTCGAATTGAGAATCGAGACATCTACGTTAAAAAATCGTTACATTCAATCAAATTTAAGTTATACAAACCCTTCAAAAGGCTTTTTATCCCGAAACCAAGTGCCTATGTGTAAAACACACCCCCAAATTACACATCCCATCAGCCCACATAAGTTTTTGCTCTAGAAAATGCAAAAAGAAAGAAAAAAACCCGAAAAGGTTGATAAAAGGGTTTAAAAAAATATTTAAAATTATTCCATTTGGGTTTTTTATCAAAAGGGAAACTTACCACCAAATTTACCGTAAAAGAAATTTCAAAAGATATTATCAACTTCCTCCATTTTGACCAGTCATGTGACAATAAGGTCGCCTTGTTTGATTTATTTGCTATATTTCGTGAACATATTCTTCATTTACCACTACCAACATAAAATAACTTTCTTATAGCCTACTCCACTATACTACTGTATCATTTCAAATATGAATGAAATAGAAACAGTTGGAAAATTTCCAAAAAGGTTAGATATAACTGGGAAAACTTAAATGTCTTCCCAGGATATATTTAACTACTAAAATCATCTTAAAAGATTAAAAAAAATTTGGGTTCTTAAGCTACCTGTCACGGTTCAGAACTGTTCACTATTTCGGGGAGAAGATGTGTAAGCGGCCGGAAAGCTCAGTCGGTAGAGCCGCGGAACGGTATTCCGAGGGTCCCGGGTTCGAGTCCCGGTCAGGCTGCACATTTTTCTCACCCTGTGACATTTGGCGCCCAACGTGGGGCCGTGACTGCTTCTAGCTCAGAGTTCAATTAGCATTGCTCTGAAGCTTTGTGAAATTCGAGGACGAATTTCAATATTGTGGTGAAGTATGTCACGGTTCAGAACTGTTCACTATTTCGGGGAGAAGATGTGTAAGCGGCCGGAAAGCTCAGTCGGTAGAGCCGCGGAACGGTATTCCGAGGGTCCCGGGTTCGAGTCCCGGTCAGGCTGCACATTTTTCTCACCCTGTGACATACCTTTTTTGAAATGAGTTATAAATGTTAAATAAAAGAGAACGGTGACCAAAATTATTTTTTCATTTTAAATGTTTCTGTTATCATATTCTAAAAACATGCCAAGTTTAAAGAAATTATGTAGAACAGCTTAACTTTTGCCTATATGTTTTATTAAAATGTTTTATTAAAATACTTTAAATGATGAAAATGTTTTTCAGGCAATAATGTAACCAGGGTCTTTCAAAGAGAAAGACCCTGATCGATGTAATATAATATTTGATAATACTGCACGTTTGTAATGTTGTTATTCATTGGATAATTGTGATGTTTATAGATATATTGTCTGCAGTCGATTTCTTTCTTTCTTTCTTTTTTCTTTCTTTCTTTCTTTTTGCTCTTAGAGAGTCTAAATAAAGTCAGTTGTATATTATACATTCGTTGTAAAGATTCTTATGATGTTGAAAAACTGTATGAAAACGGTAAATTGCAATATATCAATACAGTGTTCTATAACCAATCAAATATCTTTAAAACTAATAATATACAGGGTGTTTAAAAATCTTTAAACTTTTGAAAAAAATGATAAATATTTCAGGAAATAATGTTTTTTAAAGCCATATTTGTTGAAAAACATAGATTGCTTGTTCAAAATATTTGCCGATAAACGGCGCCATTTTGAAAATGCACCAAATTAAACATCAAATATTTGCAAATAACATCGTGAAATATTATAATATTTTTACATGATACAATTAAATAACATCTTTTCTCTTTAAAATCAATTTCTATTTTGTCATTGAAGAATGCATAAATTAAAAAAAATCTCATGAAACTCGGTCCTTATTTCAAATATGAGCAGTAGATTTTTACCTTGACACCGGGAATGAAAAATTCCAAATTTCATTGCAAATCTATAAAATTGTTACTTTTAAAGTAAAAACTGATAATATAATGCAGTAAGAGTTAGTTTTTAGTATTTTTTTTATTGATTTAACAAAACATTATCTTATAATTTGATTTTTGAATGGTGATGTGCTATGCCAGATCACGGTCAGTAGATAACCCAATAACGGCCGGGACTCAACCGAGACAGCATTTTTTTTGTAAAATTGGTCCGTCTCAGGACCATTCTATTTGAAAGACACTGTAATATAATAAAAGTGATTTAAACTGTATGACTTGAACATGATGATACTACTTGATTGCAAACTGCCTTTAAAATATCTTTGAGTGATAATTGAGATCACTCAAGATAATTTAATGCAATCAATTGACCAAACAAACTATACATTAACTACATTTATAAGTCAAGTTACATTTGTATATTTATTAATCAATTTATTGAGTACCTGACAAGATTTAAAATCTTTTAATAACATATCTTCTCGGATGAAACCATATTTAATATGGCAGCCCTACATATTTAAAAGGTGAAAAAGACCATATTAAAACGAAGCCGAAACGTCCAGGAGGGTGAAATGCCTGTCACCATCCAGATCAATTTACTTCACTGATAAAATCTAAAAAGACAATTTGACATCTGTTCCGACAGCATGATTGTTCCCCAATCAATACAAGATCAAAGATATCGATAATAATTTAAAGATAAAATGCAATTATTTTCGATAAGATTCGGTATTTCATTTAAATAGCATTTGGACACATATATGTGTGCAAGTTCTACATTGAGTTATCTTTTATATATATGACGTAAAATGTAAATATCATAAATATACTGGTATGGCTTTTAATATAGGCATATATTCTATCTGGGACATTAAATGTCGAGGACGTGTGACGTTATCGTAGGCAATTGGCTTCGATAGCTAAATAATTGAAATGATTATTGGACTTTCATTCACAATATATATGTATACATAAATAAACGGATATAATTTTAAAGCTCGATTAAATTCTTTTTTCCATTTAACATCAAGCACAACTAAAATGGAGCTCGAAGGCACGATTGGGAGACGAGTGAAAATTTCATTAGATGATGGCAGCGATATTGATGGATTTGTGCATTCCTTCAGTGCACACTCAGGAAAAATATCTTTGGATAAGGGTAAGTATTTTGTTAATTCATTAATTGCCGTACTGAAAGTATTATTTATCAGATCGACAAGTCAAGAAACTTCGAGTCGTTTCGGTCCCAAGACGTTTCGGTCCCAGGCATATCAACAAATGTTTTCGTCTTTCCCATAATTTCAAGGTGTTTAACATAAACAGTCTCAAGTCCTAGGCTTCATACACCTGCTAGGAGTTTTACTTTCATTTCTTTAAAAACTTTTTCTCCAGGAGTTTTGCTTTCATTTGCATTAAAACTTTTTCTCCATTCTCGAATTAGAAAACGGTATGCCTAAAATACGAAAGTGAGATTTTTGACGAAAGTGAGCGAAAGTGGCTTTTAAAATTTGAATTGTACCGTTTTAATAGAATTTCACAGTGAATTTTCTGTTTGTAGACGTATATTATTAGCAACTATACATAATATAATGATATATCTTTTCAAAAATAATCAATAATATAGTTTATGATGATTAAAATGCCATTTATTTGCATAATTTCTATACACAAGTTCTGAGATCTTCCTTTCACTCACTTTGAAAAATACGAAAGTGACTTGTAAATTATTAAATATGGAATTGAAATTTATACTAAAATTGCAGTTTGCAGACGTATGTTATCAGAAATCTATAATTTTTATTTAAAAAAATAATCATTATGATTTTTAATCACCATTTATTTGACATAATTTCTATATACAAGTTCAGCAATTTTCCTTTCGCTCACATAGAAAATACAAAAGTGACTTTTAAAATATAGTGTTTAATTGAAATATAGTGTTGAATATCAAATTATTAGTTTCTGATGTTATATGTTTACAAACTGCAATTTAAGTACATTTTCCAATTCAAACTCTGTATTTGATATTTTGAATTACAAGTCACTTTCGTATGTTTCGAAAGGAAGATCGCCGATGTGTATTTATAGAAATTATGCAAAAAAAATGGGGTATAAAACTTTAAATCATCATAATGGTTAATTTAGAAAATAAATAATAGTAATTTCTTATAAGACACGTTAACAAACTGCAGATATAGTATATTTTCAATTTAAACTCTATATTTAATACTTTACACGTCACTTTCGTATATTTATATGCCAGTGAAAGGAAGAGTGCTGAACTTGTATATAGAAATTATGCCAATAAATGGCGATTAAATCATGATTATGGTTATTTATTATAATACATCAGTGATTAATCTAGAAATCAATGACAATGGGTTTTTTGACTCACATATTTCAAAACAATGAGTCATATAGCCAAACTAATGAGTCATAACAAGAAAACAATGAGTCATTATCATAAATAAACAAAAATGAGGTGTGTTTGAAATGTTCTGTTACAAATAAATTTTAAACCTAGACCATGTACATTTATAATATAACATGTATAAAAAGTAAAAACAAGAATTAGTCTTCTTCAAATTTATTTACTTTATTTCATTTCATAAACACGCCTTTCTTTTTTGTGTTTCCAAATTGACAAAACTACTTCATTATCAATAGGCACAGGGCACAACTTAACAGATATTAATTGGTTCTGCTTACTAATTGTTAACCTATTTCTGGCTTTGTTTAAAATTTTATTTTGGACTGAAAAGCCTCTTTCACAGCCAGCAGTATGGACTGCAGATGTCATTGCAAGAGCTGCTAGTTTAAGCATATTTGGAAAGTTGTCCTTGTGATATCTATAGATTAGCTGCCACAAAGTACTCATTTTGTCCCTTGGATATTTTTCTGCCAATACAACTTTTTTTAAGAAAGACCATTCAGTTTTTGTTTCACTTATATTAACAATGGGTTGAGATGTTGCTGTTTCAGTCACACCATCAGTTTTCCATGTAACTGTTTTCTCTTGTCCATAAAAGTCACATAACATGTTTATTTCCTCTGATCCATACTCCTCTAGTTCTTGCTTACTTAAGAAGCTGATTGGCCGAAGGGATAGAATTCCAAAGGAAGTCAGCAGGTCAGTCTCGGGAAACCTGGAAAAAATAGCACTTTAAATATGAATTCTTTTCATTTCAAATTTTAGTTTAAGTTATTGTATGCTTCAAACTTTGTGTCATGAATATTCTATCCTATCAAAGACATTCAAATTTTCATTCCTAGAAGAAAGTAAACAGAAATTTAACACAATGCATTTGTATTTTTTCCCTAAATTATGGCATTTATGAACTGTTTTTGTTTTGTTTGTAATTTTATTTTCTGCTTATTAACTTAGATGATGAAATAATAACCAGTCTGTTTTGCCATTATTTAACTGCAATTAACTATGAGTTGTTGTTTTTTTTTTGTACTTTTTTTTATCATAAGTAAAGAAATACCTAGATTGTAAATTCTCCACTACATTGTCAACAAAAGCTTCAGTTGTTTTCTTAAGATCAAAGTTTGAAGTAACTACTTCATGCCCCCTAAAGTGGTTGTTAGTTAAGTCTTCTTTTAGTTTAAGCAGGTATGGAGATTTCATTTCTCTGACTTCTTGCAACTCATCCATGCACTGTTCCAGCTTAACCTAGACAAAAAACATTGATTTTATTGTTCCATTCAGCAATACAACAAAATGCTAACATGAAAGCTGATGGTGTTGATAGTTTATCATTTCTCAATTCCCTCATCATAATGATTTAAACAGTTCAGAATTTAAAATTAAAGTGAAAAATGTAAAATTTAATTATTAGTTTGAAGTCTGGATTTCTTTATTGCACTCTATCCCACAATTAATAATAAAAAATCTATTTACCTTCACAAGGGCAACATCCACATTTTCTGTTTGAAAAAACTGACTCAGTACTGTTAATGGTGCCATGGAGTCCATCAGCATGTAAGACGTCCCAATAAAAGAATATGTAGCTATCTGAATGAAAAAATATCAGTGTGACTTTTTTGAAATGCATTTTTCATTTACGAATCAAACAAGGAAAATAAAGGTTAACAATATTGAAATTTTAATTTTTTGACTGTTTAATAAAATTGTTCATGGCTGCCTTCAAGTTTGTTCCTTATTGTTAGGATTTCAAGCTTTGAAAGGATTATTTGCTAAAATGAAGCAAAGTTAAGTGACAAACCTTTTTCTTAAGACCCAAGGCTTTGGGATCCTGGACGGATGCTTCAGCCAAATATGTGAAAAGACTGTCAAGTGTCCGCCACACAGCAGTCAGTGCATTAAAATACGACAGCCATCTCACTGAATGTATTTCTTTAACTGTCAATATTGGATCATCAAGTACTTCTTGTATACTATGCAACCGTGCTTCTCTCTTACCACTGCCCTGTAAATAATAGTAAAAATAAAATTGCAAACATATGGTGACTAGCAATAAAAGTTTCAATAACCCTTTAAATGCGTAATTTCTAAGAACTCAGAACTTAAAATACAATTCATCCTTTTTAACCAATATAAATTTTAAACATTAACTATTATGATTTTATTAAAAAGAAATTCTCTTATTCAAGCCTGGTGTCAGATTTTAAAAGAAAAATTGATAATAAAAATTAAAACAATATACAAACCTTGAAATAATAATAAAGATCTGTAAGAATCTGTTGATGCTTTTTAATCATTGGAACTTTTTCTGCTGCTTGTGATGTACACAAAGCCAACTTGTGGGCAACACAATGGACATTATGCATGTGAGGATTAGATCTTCTCATAATTGCTGCAGCACCTGAAACAGAAAAAATATTTTTTCAACATCACTGCTTCACACTTATTATAACATTTTGCAAATACTTTAAACAATAAGTACAATCATTTTTAATTAAAAAAATATCAATGAACAAGACCTTGCATTACCTGTTCCAACCACTTTATGCTAAATCTATTTTTTTTTCTTCAAAAAATAAATAGCAATAGTTACCTTTCTCTTTCCCTGTCATAGCTGAGGCCCCATCTGATCCAAGAGACATTATTTGTTTAGCCGAGACACCTCTCTTCATCATTTCATCTAGCACTGCATGAGCAATTCCAACCCCAGTTGCATTACAGCATTCTACATTAGTAACATATAATGTTTCAGGGCAAAACTTGTCATTTAACACTTGAGCATAGATAACTTGCCGTTTGTTGTTGCAGATGTCTGTGCTTTCGTCTGTTAAAACAGTTACATATTCGGAAGAATTCAGTTTTTTATTCACATTATTCTGGGCAAATTCTGCAAGACAGTCCAGTAAATCATTGACTGCAACAGGTGACTGATAATTAATTTTACTTTTGTTCAATAGTTCAATGTCTTCAACATTAAAAGAATTCATTAGCCCAACCAATGGTTTAAATTTTGTGAGCGGTAGATCTTCTTGTACAATCCAATGTAAAATGCGAATCATAGCAATAATTGCTTTATCTTGTTCAGCTACAACTTTTTTACATGCTGATGCAAAGTCTGATTGCAATGCTGGGGCTACTATAAATTTGCGGTGCTCAGGCAGATCTGCATGTCTTGTTAGTGTACTATTCTGAAAATTTCTGTTCTGGGCTGCCTTACACATACCATTTTTTACATTATGTTGTTCACATATATTACAATACATATAATCTGGCTTGTCATTAGATGTTTCCACGTAACGTAACCAACTATAATTACCAAGCCATTTTTGTCTGAATTCACGGCGAACTTTGTTTTGACCCTCCGTAACTGTAGACGTGTTGTTCTTATTATCAAGTTCAACCAAGGCGTTGTTATTTTTATCAACGTCCTCGAAGTTTGATGGCGAAAAAGATAGCTTTCGTTGATTTGGATCAATCTTAATTTTTTTTTTCGGCGGCATGCTTTTTGCTGTTGCGTTGCGTTCATACGGGCAACTGAATAATAAACAAACCGAAGGAATAATGTAAGAGCGTGTTTGATTCGTTAGCTAATTTGCGAGAGCCAATCAAATTACCTTTTATATAACACGCTACAGAATGAACGGTGTCGGTATAAATAATCATCGTGAACGGCGAAGACATAATTTATAGGTATAGCGCCGCTATTTTTTTGCGTCCGCGATTTTTTTTATGCGTCTTTGAGGACGCACATTTTTTATTACTTTGCGTATTCTGTACAATATGTGCGTCGGATACGCAGGACGCACATCTAGATTAATCACTGATACATATAATAAGTTGCTAATAATATACGTATGCAAACAGCAATTTTACTGTAAAATTCTATTAAAACAATACAATTCAAATTCTTAAAGTCACTTTCGCTCACTTTCGTCAAAAATCTCACTTTCGTATTTTAGGCAAACCCATTAGAAAACCTAGCTAAACGCCGTTTTCCGGTACTTTCTGTACATAGCTCGTGCTCTTCGGCACCTTAGGCAACGTTTTCAAGTAACAGGGCGTTCAAAAGATCGACTACGTAATGGACGTCCGCGAGTCACAATGCGTGCCCAACACCTCTATATTCGGAAGATACTTACGCTCAATCGCTCCCAGACTGCTAACACTCTTTTTACACATATCAACCGTATATTTCCCAAAACTGTGCGCTGTCACTTGCGCTACATGGACGTAATTGTAAAAATGTGCTCTTCTTTTGGAGAAAATAAAGATATTATTAGTTATTTCTTTATAAGAAAATATTTGGATATCATTGTATGAATAATTCCATAGAAAAAATAAAGTAAATACACAAGTTTACGCAGAAAATAACCTTATTTATTATGGAAGATTCCACTACGTCTTTTTAAATTTTATTGATTTTCATTATAAACAATTTATTTTTTTGAAAAATTTGCTGTAGATATTGAAGGAATATTGATAATTTTCAAAAACATCAATTATTTTCACCTTAAACGGTAAAATAATGATAGAAAAATAGAAATATCATGTAACTGTGTTAGTACTTCATTTGGTGTTACTGTAATTCCCTAGAGCTAAATCCGTAACGTACCGGTAAACGATGTTTAGCTAGGTTTTCGAAAAGGTCAATTAGAATTGTTAACTCATGGAACTTTGCTAGACAGGGTTGTTTCGGCACAAACAATTGATACCTTCAAAACAAGACTAGACCACCAATGGAATGTTATAACTCAAGATGCATCGCCTAATATTTAACTCCCATCCAAGATGTAAATGTTCATCAATAATTATGTTCCTTCTAATTTGCCTGATTATTAGTTATTTAGTACTGAGAAAAAGTCTAATGTAGAAATCAAGGGAGTTCCTTGAAAATGTAGAAATCATGACATTTCTCACTGGATGTGATGATGCAAACAAATGTGGCAATAATATGAACTTAAGAATATACATGGATTGTCAACACTGTTAGTCCACTTCTATAAAAAAAAGACTTACTTTCTGATAATTTTACTTCCAGGCAAAACTATTGCCCAAGATATAAACTATAAAAAGCCTATTTTTCTTATGTTATATTTTTTACTAGTCTATCACTAACAAAATAACAAACTTATCTATGCCAATTACAGTAAGTATGTTACATTCTAACACTATCGGATTTTTTTCTATATAAACAAAGAAGGCCCGAAGCGTGCATTATTCTGCAACAATGCACTCGCTGTTCTTATTATCTCCCTGTGTATTTTCACATTGAGGGCGCCATTTTGTTTGAAAAATCTGATAAATAAAAACAATTTTTTGTCGAATTTTGTTGTGAAAACTATCTAGAATGAAAGAAAATGGTCTAACTAAGAAAATAAATCCGAACACCAATATCTTTAATTCAGTCGTTAACGCTGTACAGACGTTTAAAGTGTTGTTTACGTGACGTCACAATGTAGCGCCAAACAGCACGTGCAAAACAATCAAAATCAAGTGCGCTATTTTAATGTCGCAGACGAGTTAAGTTTTACATTTATTTCACTTTTAATAATTTGTATTTCGCTTGGAAAATTATAGACTGAAATAAAATAAACAAACAAAGATTTATCAACGTTTTCAAAATTCGTTATTCTCAAAATGTTTCTACACACGGTAGATTTAACGACATTTTTTTTCAACCCACTGGAACGGCCTTTAAAGAACGTTTCTATTGGAAACTCCGAGGCGAAAACAAATTTAACCGCCAAACATAAAGTCCAACTTAATAATAATAATTTTTTTTTTCTTGATGTGTTAGAATGGAAATAAATCTTAATTCTTCGTGCATTATTGTATAATAATGCACGTTTTTCGTTCAAATGCTTTGTAATTAATCACTCAGGCCTATCGGCCTTCGTGATTATATTACTGCGCATTTGAACTCAAACCGTGCATTATTCTACAACAATGCACTCAGAATTGATATCTATTTCCTAATTCACTTTCCATTATTATGTCAAATTATCTTGGAGTAATAACTGTAATGGAACTTGAAGATTTAAGGCAACAGTTCAAACAAAACTCAGAAAGTTATATATGTAATACGCTTTTTACTGTATTTTTACATTCCTACCGTATTTATTGTAAAGTGCAAGCATTAGTTAGATATTTAGGAAACACCAGTAACTTAAACTTTAAAGATCATGTCATTTGAATGTCACTGTCTAAGGACTCAAAATATATTGAGGAAAGTAATGATTCTCAATGCCGATTTTTTGTAAAGGCATGAGACACTGTTCCAATGACTGCAAGAAAGCTGCATATCCAGTTTTTTTATAATTAACAGATTGGGGGGAAAAATGATGCTGTAGGAACAGATGTCAAATTGTCTTTTTAGAATTTATCAGTGAAGTAAATTGATCTGGATGGTGACAGGCATTTTACCTCCTAGACGTTTCAGTCATGGTCTTTTTCACCTTTTTAATATGCGTGGCTACCATTTTAAATATGGTATCATCTCAGAGAAGATGTTATTTGAAGATTTTAAATCTTTATGGTTGAAATGCTGTTAGAATCAGTTGTATTTTCAGCCTGTAGATTTAAATATCCCCCACTTAACCCTTGGCCAAATAGGTTCTTTTTGTTGGCACATCTGTTGTCTCAGATAAAAATGAAAACCCTGATATCTAGCTCTTATAAAACCAGCTCTTTACTTCTAGTAAGGTCAGTACTTTACTTTGGAGCAGTAATTTGTCTGACATTTGCAAACATGTCCAGTCTAGTACTGACCCTGGTTGTCTGTTTAAAGGGAAAGCACTCTGGTTAGAATGTCGGATTATAAGAGTGGAGGTACAGTCAAAAAGCAACAACAGTTTGAAATATTAATTTGAATATTAATCTGTTGATCATCTATCAGTTACTGTCAGTAAATATTTTTTATGAATTTTTTTTTTTGTGTTTTTCAGTCCAATGTATTGAAAACGGTAGAAAAAAGAAACTGGTTGGACTTCAGCATTATTTTGCAGAGGAAATTCAAACAAGTAGGTTAATCTTCAATATATTGGAGATATATTAATTAGGCTGATCTTCTTTAAGTTTGATATAATTAGTTTAGAATTGTAAGCCATTCTATCTCAGTAGATAATCATCATGTACTTTTCAGAAAATATTAAAGTTTTTCACAAAGGTATATAAATACTGGCATTGATTCATTTCTAGGCTGAGATGAATAATAAAAAAGGTAAAAATGAAGAAGTATCATATTTCTAACTCCTGTCCTGTTTAAAATATGTGATGAATTTTGATCACTTTGAATTTAGAATAAATTATTGTCCTATTGTAGACAGGATTTCAAGCTTGCCTGACTTATATACTTGTGGTATAGGCAAGTCACCAATGCCACTAGCATATGTTTAAAGTGTTAACTATATATAGTAACAAAATAAGTCAAATCTTGTGCCTTTAAACTGTTTAAGATATTTATTTTAGTGTACAAACTTGTTGTTTTATTTCTAGTTATTGTTACCGAAGATGTTTGTAAAAACAAGAAAAAGGCAAAAGCTCAAGAAAGGTAAGTTTATGAACATGTTTCCTTTCATGAATAGTTTATCTTTATATATAAAACTGATCATCACAGACAATAGGTACATACTATAGGGCTGTGGAGCATCAGGAATTTGGCATTCAGATCTCATTAAAAGCTATTAAACAGCAGTACATAATTTTATCTATTAGTAAGATTATATTATATTAAGATATTTTCTAATAATAGACATGATGTTTTTGACCTGAGATAAAGAAACCTTCTCATAATTATGTTATTAAAAAAGTCAAAATAATCTTGAGGTAACTAAGACTATTAATGCTTGTTTAAAATTGAATTTGTTTCAACGTTTGTTCTGGGGTGTCCGTGGCCAAGTGGTTAAGGTCGTTGACTTCAAACCACTTGCCCCTCACCGCTGTGGGTTCGAATCCCGACAGGGAATTTGGATTCTTTCATGTGAGGAAGCTATCCAGCTAGCTTACGGAACGTCGGTGGTTCTACTCAGGTGCCCGTTCCTGCCTGAAATAATGCACGGAAAGGCACCTGAGGTCTTCCTCCATCAGTAAAGCTGGAACGTCGCAATATGACCTATACTGTGTCGATGTGACACAAAACCCAAAACAAACAAACATTTGTTCTTCTTTGATAATGAAAATAAAATACGTGTATATTAGATTTTTGAAAATATGACTTTATTACATGCTTTTCGTTGGTTTATAGAAATATGTCAGTGAAATATAAAACTTTAAAACTGTGAAATTATCATTTTGATAATTTGCACTATTTTGAATTTAAGCCCGTTATGTTGTTTCAGCAAAATACCAGCGTGCACAATACTGGAAACCAACTTAATGACGTGACGTTGTTTATGACGTCACGTTGTATTATCATTTTGTGCGCTTTTCATTTAGTATTAGGTTAAATGTCTTTTTAGATGTTTCTTTGCATATAATGAAAAGAAAATTTGTTTAGTTAAGTGTAAGATGGAAATATATTTCACCTTGTGAACACCACTCGTGAAATATACCTTTTGGTGCTCACTCGGTGAAATATATTTCGATCTTACACTGAACTCAACAATTATCCTCTTTGTATTGTAAAGGTTGCAAGTTGGAAATCTTTAAGAATTGGCAAACTGTATAATCTTGCTCAAATTTGAACTTAGAATTGTAACCATTTAAACATTCTGACATTGATTCTGATTTTAATGTATATTTGTATAACAGATAAATGTTGTTGTTGTTGTTGTTTTAGCAGTAGTGGTTATGGTAAAGGAGGGATGCTTAGAGGTAAATGTGAAAGTAGCCATTTGAACAGATTACAGTTTGTGGACCCATCTTCTCTCATCTTGAAGAATAAAAAGTTATTAGATGATAGTAAGTTAATTACTGATTAATTGTTATTAGTGATCTGTTAATCAGTGTGTTTTAATAAGCAACCCTGAAGAAAATGGATTTGTTTAACTTCTATTATCACATAAACCAAGAAGTGTAATAAAGCCATTTAGTAAAAATGATATTACACCAGTGTAATAACACTTTGATGTCATGTTATTTGCGTTATATACAAACAGCGTTACATTATAGATGTGTCAACGAAGAATGACTCTTTTAAGATTTTAACTTAACTTAAATGATAATCATTCTTATTTTAGATATGATAATATGTGTGATAAATGGAATATATACTAAATTTATTGAACTCACCAGAGGCTCGTAAAATATGATTTTATTCAACTTTTTCAATCACTTAAGTATTAAATCTACACTCATTCAATATCCTCTATTTATTTATTTCAATTTTAAAGACATAATGATAGAAAATTGGAAGTTTGTTTGCCAAAAGTGAAAAGACTGGTCAGACTAACACGAATCTTCAAGCGGTCTTGACTCTTAACTGTCGGCAAAAGTTTTTCAGTTTCTGTTTCAGTAATTTAAGGGTCAGCATTTGAAATACAGTGAGGGCAGTTAGTTGCTCATGTATTTCTAATGTTAATGTGTTTTAAGTGTTCTTATAGTTTTAAGCCATTAATTATCCCTACCGTCTTATCTAAAACCCAGATGTTGTGCTCTTTTTTATAAGCATTGTATTTTGATGCTAATAATTTAAAACAGTGAAAAGATTATAAAATCTGTATACCAATGCATTGCAAACCTTTGATTTTTATGCCCCCACAAAGTGGGAGCATAAAATATTGCACTTGTCCGTCTGTCAGTCCGAGCAAACATTTTGGGTTTAGGGTCTATATAACAGTAAAGAGAACAAAAGAGAACAATAGGTTCATTCCGTGATTAAAGGGTTTATGGGCTAGTAGCTCTTAAGAAAACTAAGAAAATAACAAAGAAAATTGCCCATAAACCCAAAATGTTGGAACGTCCATCCGTCCGTCCATCCAGAAATCTTATGAATGCAACTCCTCTTAAACCGGATGGCAGATTTTGCTTAAACTTCAAGGGATGAACAACCTTAATGAGTAGATGGTAGTAAAGAAAGGAATTTTTGCCGCGACCAAATTTAACAGAATTATGGCCCTTTGTTGATTTTTAGTTTTCAACTTGTGGCACATGTAGTCCAAAAAATATTTGACCTAGAGTCATAAGATTGACAGAACAATGGCGTGTGGGGGCATCCGTGTCCTATGGACACATTTCTAGTTGTACTTGAATGAAGTTTAAAAGTTTCCTTGTGGCCTTAACAGTTTTGTATTGACTAAAACACCAACAACGTACATGTATATTAAAAGGATATTTAAAGATTTTTTTCCAATTTCTGTTATCTTTTTACTTAATGAAATGGTAGTTAATGATAAAAAAATGATGGTATTAAAATATTTTTATGCCCCCGAGCATATAGTAATTGAACCGTCTGTCCGTACGAGGTTAACCTAGAACGGCAAGTTGGATTTTTCTTAAGTTCTACCTGTACCAATAGCTTCTTAGTTTACACACTTACTAATCAATACAAAGTACATGATCTGGTCAAGTTACATAACTGTGACTTCCATATTTACCAAGTTATTGCCCTTTTCAGCACTTAAAAAATGAATAATGGTTAACCTAAAACGGCAAGTTGGAAATATCTTAAGTTCTATCTATACTAATGGCTTCATAATTTCCACACTTACTTATCAATACAAAGTACATGATATTGCCAAGTTATATAACTGTGTCATCCATATTTCCCAGTTATTTCCCTTTTTTCACTTTGAAAATAGGGCCTTGTCTGGTTAACCTATTCCGGCAAGTTGGATTTATCCTAAATTTCTCTTAATTGCTTAATTTATTTAATGATATCTTGCATATTTGGTAGGTTGGATACCTATAATGGTCTTCTAATTTTTTGTGGTGTAAGTGGTCTCTAGGGTCAAGGTCAAGGTCACTGGTTTAGAAAATAAATTTAAACATTTTTGCTCATACAGCCTTTATTTTTTGGTTGATGTCGTTCATGTTTAATACAAACATGCCAAGGCAGGTCCTCCTTCTTTGGGTGTAGTAAGGGGTCATTTGGGTCAAGGTCAATGTCACCAATGTCAAGGTCATCAATGTTAAAAATAGATTTTTACAGGTGTATTAACCATATTCTATAGACAGATGTCATTTATAATTGATAGGAACATAAAATTTGATGGAGTTAGTGGTCAGTTGGGTCAAGGTCTCTTGTGCTAAAAATAGATTTTTAGACTTTTGCTCATACAGCCTTTATTCATTGACTGATATATTTCATATTTGGTAGGAAGATAACTTGCATGGTATCCATCCTTTTGATTGGGGTAGGGATCAGTGGGTCAAGGTCACTTGTGCTAAAAATAGATTTTTACACTTTTGTCAATACAGGCTTTATTTATTGACAGGTGTATTTCATAATTGATAGGAAGATAACTTGCATGGTATTCTTCCTTTTGATTGAGTTAGGGATCAGTGTGTCAAGGTCACTTGTGCTAAAAATAGATTTTTACACTTTTGCTCATACAGCCTTTATTTATTGACAGATATATTTCATATTTGGTAGGAAGATAACTTGCATGTTATTCTTACTTTGGATGGAGTTAGGGGTCAGTTGGGTCAAGGTCACAAGTGCTAAAAATAGATTTTTACACTTTTGCCCATACAGCCTTTATTTATTGACAGATTTATTTCATATTTGGTTGGAAGATAACTTGCATGGTATTCTTCCTTTGGATGGAGTTAGGGGTCAGTTTGATCAAGGTCATCAATGCTCAAAATAGATTTTAACATTTTTGCCCATACAGCCTTTATTTATTGACAGGTGTATTTCATATTTGGTAGGAAGATAACTTGCATGATATCCTATAAGTGTCAGTGGGTCAAGGTCAAGGGTGCCAAGTATAGATTTCTTACATTTATATATATTTGATAAAGTTGAATATTTATCACTTCTCAAGGCATAGCAATGACTTGGCAACTTATATATTTCACAATTACAAAATGCCATGACTTTGTCAAGCTATATAACTTGTGTTTACAATTTTTTGGCAATGTTTCTGTCCATAACTGAGTGAATGGGTAAACACTTTTTAGCTCGACTATTCTATAAGAATAAGTAGAGCTATTGTAGTCACCCGAGCGTCGGCGTAACCACTTATGTTAAAGTTTTTGTAATAGTTCAAATATTTTCAAAGTCCATTGACATATGGCTTTGAAACTTTGCACACTTGTTTACCATCATGTCCCCAACGTGTAGACAGGAGGAGGTAACTCTATCAAGCATTTTGACAGAATTATGCCCCTTTTTCAACTTAGAATTTATGTTAAAGTTTTTGTAATAGTTCAAATATTTTCAAAGTCCATTGAAATATGGCTTTGAAACTTTGCACACTTGTTCACCATCATGACCCCAACCTGTAGACAGGAGGAGGTAACTCTATCAAGCATTTTGACAGAATAATGCCCCTTTTTCGACTTAGAATTTACGTTAAAATTTTTGTAATACCTCAAATATTTTCAAAGTCCATTCACATATGGCTTTGAAACTTTGCACACTTGTTCACCATCATGACCCCAACCTGTAGACAGGAGGAGGTAACTCTATCAAGCATTTTGACAGAATAATGCCCCTTTTTCGACTTAGAATTTACGTTTAAGTTTTTGTAATAGTTCAAATATTTTCAAAGTCCATTGACATATGGCTTTGAAACTTTGCACACTTGTTCACCATCATGACCCCAACCTGTAAACAGGAGGAGGTAACTGTATCAAGCATTTTTTATACTATCAAGCACTAAGAATAGTCGAGCGTTGCTGTCCTACCTACAGCTCTTGTTTGAAATATTGCTACTGACAAGAATCTGAGCCGGGGGCATTTGTGTTTAACAAACACGTTCTTGTTTTTTTTTGTATTTTAAGCATTGACGTCATCAGGCAATGAGACCGGATCTAGTGATTCTGACTATATCAACGCCCTTCCACAGTCAGACGAATACACCATTATACCCAAACTATGCAGTACCTTTTATGAGGCAGTAAGTTTTATCATAAGGACATTTTATGAGGCTGCAAGTTTTATTATTAGTACATTTTATGATGTGGAATGTGTAGCCATTTTAAATTGTTTTATGAACATGCTGCTATTTATTTATACATAGTTGACATGGGTATCATTTGAACCAGGGTCTTTCTATTTGAAAGACCCTGTTTAAACAAATTGCACTTTTGATTTTTTTTCTTGTATATCAGAAACATATATGATCTGCATTGCTTTAAACTGTAATGTAACAAAGTTGATGCTTCTATTTTTATTTTTTTTTACAAAATTAAAGTTTATTTGAAAGTTCTGTTTGGGTACAAACCAATCAACATTTAAGATATAACATCACTTTGTATTGTAAGTTTTAACATTGAAACAATATCATTTTAATTTGAACAAATGTTTATATTATAACTATTTTTAGATTACATATATAAAGAAACATCAAGTGATTGGTGTTGCCATGGAGGGAGTTTCAATTGGAAGATTTGGTAAATTGTGCTGGCTACAGGTTAGTACTTAACAGTTAATTTACCTTGTTTTATTCACTGACCCTTTGTCACTTTAATCTGTTTCACAGTTATTACATATAATAAGAATCTTACACCGGCTGCCGGTACGGACAGGAATATCTAGCTCGAGGGTAGCTGCTTACGATGGTAAGTTACAAGGCTCTGCCAAGTGTACGCTAAACAGTTACCCAAGAGCTAGATATTCCAGTCTGTTACGACAGCTGATGTTTGATTTTTTGTTGTTGCATATAACATATTAAACATATTCCGGAAGGAAATTACAAAAACTAATACTTTAATTTCGCACTTTTTTCTTATAGTAGCATATGAATTTACAGCTTCATTTATAATGGTAAAATGACATACTAAGAACGCAATTCATTCATAAAATATGTGTGGGAATGATGTCATTTAAAGCGCGACACTTGTCATACATGGGGGGTGCAAGACAGGTTTTTCTAGCACCGGTGAAGAAGCTTGATAATCCTGTCTGATATGCAAGAAAGATGTTTACCAGTCATGTAACTTTGCTTCTGCTTATTAATTTAGGGACTAAATTTTGTCAGTAATGTCGAAATTCCTAATTAGTACAATATTTTATAAACCATGTGTAAACAAAAGACTCTCCCTCACCGCTGTGGGTTCGAATCCCAACAGGGACTTTGGATTCTTTCATGTGAGGAAGCTATCCAGCTAGCTTATAGAACGTCTGTGGTTCTACTCAGGTGCCCGTTCTTGTTTGGAATAATGCACGGAAGGGCACCCCTGAGGTCTTCCTCCACCAGTAAAAGCTGAAACGTCACGATATGACCTATACTGTGTTGATGTGACGTAAAACCCAAACAAACAAAAGAAAAAACTCTGACAGGCATAATTTCTTTTCTTGTTTTACAATTCTAAAAACAGTGAAAGTCAGTATGTATTAATGGAAGTTTAAACATTTACTAATTCTTAGCTTGACTTCTTGAGGAATATGGAGAGCTAAAGTACAAACCATGGTGTAGGTTTAACAATGTTTCAGTTTTGTGAGCAAGTTGAAATCTCTAATACTACCTAGAGGGAATGAGTTGAAACTTCACACACTTATTTAAAAGCATAATAGGAGGTCAGGGTTCAAAGCCAACCAATTTAACTTGGATTTTGACCAAATTATGGCCCATTTTTGTCACTTAGAAATTTTCACATAATCCAGGCTGTTGTTCAACTATCAAGTACACTGTCCTACAGACAGCTCGTATTGATTATATTCTAACAATTTGGTCTGTTTCCTTGTAGGTGATGTGATGATTGGTTGTCAATTAAAATATAATTAATTAAATATAATATAATTAAAATGTTTTGACAGGTTGCTGTTCCAGATCATGTGTTTATGTTTGATGTACTGCAAATGGGCAGAGCCTTTTTTGATGAAGGAATGAAAGATATTCTAGAAAATGAACATATACTCAAGGTAATTTATTATATAACAAACTTTATTCAGACATTCTGAAAAGTGCCGGTTCGACTGACCTGACCGGTAAAATTATGTTCTGACCCGGAAAAATTCCATCCGAGCAGGTCCGACTGTCCGGTAACAATCTTAAGATTTTACATTCAACTTTTACATAAACAATCTTCAAGATAATATTAAAATAAACACAGTAATTATCAGTATTATGTATTCCAAATCAATAGTTTTCATAAATAAATTTGCCATTACGAAGTAATCGGAATAAAATCATTAAAAAAATTTAGTTGTTATATCCCTATTTCGATATGGCACATGTTCAAATACTTACTTCCATTTGGAAAATTATTAATTTTCGCTACTACAAAAAATGAGTGTTTAAGGCTATTTTGAAGATGCTCGGCAATGTCAAAAGTGTCCAAACCCTTCAAAAGCGGAAAATTCGGTCAAGGGAAAACTGATTCGGTCCAGTGAATCTTCCAAGATTGCTGGACCGAATGTCCAGTAATGTCAAAATACTTTTCAGAAAGTCTGCTTCGTTACATGGTATAAATTACTCTAAACTAATTTAGTGGTCAAAGGGTTAGAGTCGATGACTTCTAATCCAGTTACCTCTCTGCCTCTCTGACGTGGGTTCAATCCCCGGGAGATGCTTTGGTAGTTTAGCAAGGAGGAAGGTAGTCTAGTACTGGTGTAACTCTCCAGGAACAATGGTAAGGAAACTACCCACCTATATGACTGAAATACTGTTGGGAAAAGGCGTAAATGAAACAAACAAACAAACTAAACTAATTTATGGGATAAGTTGTCTGTTTGATTTCTATATGTACATTTGCATACGGTATGTTAAAGATATATGTTTAGATTGGGTCTCAGTTGATAGTCAGTATTTCTAGGTTAATATGGTTTCTTTTTGACAATAATGAATGTAACTTTTGCCAATGTATTTAGATATCATTCAAAAAAGATATGTCAGTTTTTATTCCAAACTTTCATGGTTAAAATATTGGAAGCATTGCTGTCACGTGTAGTGAACTAGAAATTCAGATTAGTTTAAATAGTTTCTAAATGAGTACAAATAAATGGTAAAATAAACAAAAAAAACAAAAAACTTAAGAGAATCTTTTACATAATGAGCAGGATTTGAAACAACATTGTTGCTTTTTCAATATTAATGATCCAAAGTGTACACAATATGAGCCGTGTCTCAACAAAACCAACATAATGGGTTTGCAACCAGCATGGATCCAGACCAGCCTGCGCATCCGCGCAGTCTGATCAGGATCCATGCTGTTCGCTATCAGTTTCTCTACTTGTAATAGGGTTTGTAAACGAGCAGCATGGATCCTAATCAGACTGCGTGGAAGGGCAGGCTGGTCTGGATCCATGCTGGTCGCAAACCCATTATGTTGGTTTTGTCATGAGGCGGCTCATATGTTTTGGGTAGATAAAGTTAAAACATTTTCTATATTTGTTAAAGCTATTTAACACCAAAGTTTTATAATATTGCAGGTGTTACATGACTGTCGTATGGTATCAGATATATTACATCACCAGTATGATATCAACATGATCAATGTCTTTGATACTCAGGTAATTTTATAGTCAACTTCAATGCTCTTAGAAATGACCGGTCTGATGGGAAATTACCAAACCAAGGCAGATTACCTGTCTCAAAGGAAATTGCAAGTCTTAAAGGGAAATAAACTGTTGAATGGAAATCTACCTACCTAAGATGAAATTACCAGTCTCAAGGTAAATTACCAATCTCAAGGTAAATTACCAATTCCAAGGGAAATTACCAATCCCAAGGGAAATAACCTGTCAAAAGGGAAATTACCAGTTCAAAAAAAATTACCAGTCCCAGGGGATATTACCAGTCCCAGGGAAAATAACCAGTCCCAGGGGTAATCACCAGGTCCAAGGGAAATTACCAGTCCCAGGGATAGTTTCTACTTTATAAAATCACTGAGAAACTCTGAGAATTTATTGCTGATTTATGAAATGATTGGACATTTTCAATGTGTTTTGTCAGAGAAGTATTTTGAAGTTAGTAATTACACTGTCTTATTTCTTATTTATACCTCAGTATATGATTTATACCTCAAACAATGTATGGCAAGTCATTTAGGTTCATTCTTTCATCTTTAGAAGCTGACCATATAATTTTACCTGACAACATGTAAAACTATTAAGGTAATGGTTTATTACCAAATATACATTGCTTTCAGTTGTCATGACAATAAAAACGCAACAAATTTTTTTATAATGGTTCTGTACAAGACAAGAACAAAAATAAATTTCTAGTTACCTCCCTTTATTTACATGAAACATAAATTTGGTAACATCTTTACAAATAATGCTTTTTGGAACTTACAATATTGATAAATCTTCATTTGAGCATCATATTTATGATAAAATACTATAAAAAATTTTGAGTTACAGGATTCTAATGATTGCCTGATATAAAATGTAAAAAAAGAACGCTCCTTAATGTTTAAATTTTATACAAGTTCATGTTTTCATTTTTCGGTTAAATAGGTTGCCAATGTGTTTGTGTATAGATTGAGACACCATCGAGATTGGCCAAGATATGTAGAGGGTCTAGCGTCGGCTCTTGTTCAACATTTAGATGTCTCGTTGGATGAAGTTAATTGGGCAGTGGTCAGGGAGAGACGCAGAGAGGTTTGTTAGATTTGAATATTTCATTATTTTGTTTGAAACTGTCACAGATGGTGTCTGTAACATCATATCTTGAGCGTGCACATTTTTTACTGTGTAAAGATTGTTATGTTTTTCAAATCATCAGCAGAAGAGAAATGGAGCACAGCAATTACATGTACTTTATTGAAAATACTGAAAATATTTTCCTGAGACAATGTTTTAAACCTAATTTAAAGACTGCTTTATTTAAGAAATAATATATCCAAAACAGTGACTTTAAAGGGAAAGACAAGGTAAGAATAAAAACTTGATTTCAGAAAAAGAATACTATAAATAATAAATCTTCAAATTTTCTGCCGCCAAATAATAATATTAAACAAATGATAACGCAATTTAAATCGCTAAATCACCGATTTCTACAAATCAGTAGGCGCGGCCATTTGTGTGTATTGGCCGTATAAAAACAGGTGCGCGTGATGTCATTTCCCCACATCTTTAGATTTATGATAAATCTAGTTGAATCGTAGCGAAATATTTATATAATAAAGTATTGACCAGACAATTTAATTTTCACAGGAGGTGTAGAGGAGATCTTTTATGGTTCAAAATACGTAACAAAAATTAATATCTAAAAAAAAAAAAAAAAATAAAGAAACAAATAAAAAATCAACGTCTACCGGTCGCACCACTTCAGGCCAGTGATGCCCGTTACTCCAAACAATGCTATGTCATTAAAGTCTCATCTTAATGTAATTAAACAATATTTCACAGAGTTAATAAATACACATTATTATTTAACAAAGTTTCACAATCAAATAATGCAATTAAATAAACAAACGCACCAACGAATAAATGGCTGTTAATTATTGAACGGCGATAATTATCATTATTATAAAAATCCTACTAAAACGTGTTCTTAATAGTACATGTAATTAAATTTTTGCAGTTTGATTCTGACTTTCAAATTAAAAGGTGTGAACATATGTTAGTAGTGATGTACACATTTCAAAAATATAAGCAACTCTTTTGAAAAGTAAATTGTTAACATGTCTGTCAACGTATGATGCTGCGTGGTATTTATTTACATCGTAATCGTAGCCTAATATTAACTGCAGGCAAAACATTTTTATTGGCTGCTCAAAAATCTCATTTGCATAATTTATTCACACAATTGCTGGTTCTTACTACTTATGTCTAATACTGTGCATTATCCATTTTAATTGTTCCTAATTTGCACCAAATGTTCCTGTCACACTGTGTACTAACGATTTTTATTGCTCCTTGTATGCCTCTGTGCCGACAGACCTTTTGATCATGCACAATGTTGCCCTGATTGGTTAATCACCCTTGTCAAATATTCTAATGACGAAATAGACATCTATTTTTTTACGCTGTGACTGAATGACCTTAGGGTAAATTAAGTTCCGCACCTGTCAAGTTATACTGTAAATTACAGCATTTCATAAAATAGCAACACATTTTTTTTCAGTTACCAATAATCATTTTAAATATTAAGTAGATTTATGATTTTTTGTTTTATTGGATTAAATTTACGGTAGTAGAAATGCGTATCTGTGTGGGAAAGGGATTGGGTAAGTAGATAACGTGGAAAAAAGCTATAGGGAACTGGATAAACCCGGGAATATGCGTAATTACAGGGGAATGCAATGGGCAACCTGTTGCTGTTGGTACCAGTTTTGACTGGGTGCCTAAATAACCAAACGGACAGTTTTGTTTTCATAAGATATTTGTCTAGCTGCCGATTTTCCTGCGCCATTTTATTTTTAGCGTCAATGTCGGAAAATCGCATCCTCAGCAGATCTCTGCATATTGGATTTAGTTGATATTTTACGCTGAGAAAAAGATACATGACCGGCGATGTACCCTATTCGGACAGCTTGTTTAACGAAAATTAAGTACAAAAGAAAAGGATATATTGTCAATTTGAAGAAGTTTCTCAAAGTACCCAAATTAAATTGATGGTTTATCTTTGAAAACTATGCAGTCATTGCTTAAATCATGTGGTGGGATCATCAGCAAGCTTGAAAATCGGACAAATGATAATTAATGCCGCGGCGTCTTCAATTAATTAATTAAAGCAATTCAGTTCCATATGATGTTTTCATAAATAATAAATAATGTACGCAATAAGATTAATTAAGTTCTTCATCAAGATATATTTCAGTTGTACCAGTGTGTACACCTTTACCGGAAGTGGGTATAACACGTAACAATCTCGGTCTCGTCTGTCTCGCGAGAATGACAGAACGCCAAAATGGCGGCGCCCATGAACTTAAATCTCAAGTAAAAAATAGTGTCTTAAAACACGAATTTCTCACTTATAGGGTTGATGTCAACAGAAAAACTGTCATGGTACCTCTTTTTAAATAATGAATATTTATATTAGACAGACATCAATCCATCCATTCCTATTCCTTTAACACTCAATAAAACAACTGTTTGGAGTTCCGATGTGGGGAATTATTTCACGAGGGCGTAGACTGAGCAGTATAATGATGCGCATCTGAACGACAAACAATGATTTTATAAAGCGATAAAATCAACAATTTGGATATATTATTAGGATTCTAACATGACATCAACAAATAAATGCTGCTGTACCTGATATTAAGCTGAACTGCGCGTGATTTGTTTCCGTACTTATTTTCAGTGCATCACATTTTTAGTGGTTACGTCACATGTATAATGATTACGTCACACATCTAAATATACAATGTCAAACAGCGATTTTATTACAAAAAAACACACACTTTTCGTTCTTCTATGTTCAGTAGGGAAAAATGTTGTGTTAGAATCTTTCATTTGTGCTTATTATTATTGTTATTATTGATAATATAATTATTATTACAATTATTATTATTATTACCATCATTATCATTATTATTATAGGAAGATGAGGAGGTGTGGCGGGAGAGGCCTCCACAGCAACATCTTGTGAATGCTGCTGTTAAGAATGTGAAACATTTGCTTGATCTCCGTGTTGTTTTGATGGAGAAAATGATGGAAGAGTATGTGGCTGGTGTCAATATTTACCTCATGCAAGTACGAGACGCTTCCGATAGAGATGCTAAACGATACCAGGTATTAAACTCTTTTCTCTGGTTGAAACATAGTTATTTAAGTTCGATTGTGAAACAATTTCTTGCAACCTATATTAATCACTTTCGAGTCCACTTCCTGGAACCAACCAGTACTGATGTCATATGAAGAAAACATGGTCATGACCTGAGTAGGGCTCGAACCCATGATCTCTAGGTTGAGAGGCAGACACCTTAACCACTAGGCCACGCTTCATGTAAGATAGAGCTGTCATCGATAGAGACGATATCAATATATCATTGATATTTTTCTGTCGATAAATTATCGATACACATTTGAAAAATCAATAATTTTGATTAATTATGTAAATGTCTATAAATTATGAAAATTGACTCAAAATAAACACAAAAGCAGTGTCTTATACTGTTGCTACATAATAGAAACATCAGTGATGACAAAAATGGTCAAAACAAAATCATGCAAAGGACATTTGTAAACTGGACTCGACATATTCGTGGAAACTGGATATGTATTTTATTAAAATCATTTAAACAGGTATGAAAATTGAATTATATACAAAAAAATAGGAGTATTTATCACTATATTGGTGTATTGCTGATATTTGTCATTGAATATCAATTTATCGTCAATATGCTTTGCACTGAATCGATCACGGCTCTACTTACAGAGTTATTTTGTTGAGCTTTCATATTACACATTTTAATCATGTTGATTGAAGTTCTTACAGATCATAGATATAACTGCATGATATCTAGATTCTGTCATATGAGAAAGTTATCCAGGTTCTTTACAGATGTTTGCTGCTGTTTGTGCACACTACTTAGATACTTCTTCTTCAAATATTCTTATTTTTTCCTAATCTCTAAAAAATAATTCTGAATAGAATTTAAATTTTTAATATCCAAGCTGACAGATTTACTGAATTTCATTCTCGTATAATAACAAACAGATGTTGTTGATTTGTTGTCAAATTGTATTATATATGTTATGCTTTGTTGAAGTTTGTGTTGGTTGGAGTAAACAACGCTGCCCAATTCAAAATGCAATGCCACAAAGCTTGAAAAGGGTTATTAACTTTCAAAACTGACCAACAAAAATAATCGTTTACATTCCATGTTTGATATCCCATTTCAGACTACTCCCCATCTTTTACCAGTTGCATTTCAAGACATCTCTGCCTTCATGAAATCATCTAGAAACAGGAATATTAACTTCAGTGTACGTGAAATACCAAAGGACATGAATGGTTTCCGAGAGAACTGCACCGGTATTAATCAACCCCATATTTACTACTCTAAAGACTCAATCTGGCATGCAGGATCAAGGAAAACTGGTACAGTATCTTTATATTTCTTATTAACGAAAATTGATTAAAAATGAAACTCAGCTTTGATTTCCCTTGTAGCAAAATATTGATTTCATATGTATTGTCAGAAAAAAATATCTTTGTGTTTTATGATTTTGTTGAAAATCATGATCAATGATTGAAAGTGCTTGTACAAATAAGTCATGAGATTAGCACTAAGGTCAAAGTTGCTTATAATTGGAAAAATAATCAATTAAGATATTGAAGTTACGTTAATGGTAACTTATACTGTATATACATGTAGATCTAGAGGTTTAGGGAATACAGTCATTGTTTAAAAGCTCTAATAGAAAATGATTTATAAACTTGTGTTAATATCAGAATTTTTTTACAAAACTGTTCAACATAGGAAAACATTATCTTAAATGTAAAAGTTATTATGCCAGCCAGCTTGAAAATCAAGTTCATCTGTGTTTCTGCTGGAAGTTAGAAAAGAAATTCAAACAAAACGTTATGTATAAGCAGTTTATATGGCTCATGATAAATTTAATGTACCTAGGACTTATGTCAAGGATACAGAAATTAACAGAGAAATGAAGAAGTTAACTGAAAATGCACTTATTTAATTTTGTAGTGTCTGTAATGCATATATGTATGTAATATATAATGGCAAAAACATGTAATATCATAAAGTTTTGTTTTACTTAGTTCATTTCAGATAGTATATCTCATAAGTTTTAATCATTGTGACTTGATTTCAGACACCTCTACTCCAGCTGCTGCCACAGGAAAAGTTTCCTCAACAAATCAAATGTCTGTTGACAAAAACTCTGCTCAAAAATCTCAGGAAAATGTTTCCGTCCAATCACCAAAACACGTCCAGCAACCCTCCCCTTGTGTTGCCGACTCTGACTCAGGTAGTAAAGTGTCAGTCCCTACCCAGAGACTTGAAGATGCTTCTCTAGATAGTGACAATTACTCTGTTCAATCAAGCCAATCTGTTGTTCCTTCACGGAGAAATCTTCATAGATCTCCGGACAATGATCTTGTCGCTAAAGCAGTTGCAGGAATGAATGCCAGAAAGTTAGAAATGGATGAGGGACTGTCGAAATCGGAAAACCATAAATCGGGATATAATGCCAGCAACGTTGATACATTTGAAGAAGCATCTGAATTAAGTGCCGAAGTGTCTGCCGGAGGAGAATTAAGAGGAGGGAGTTTAATGCGAGCATTAGTTCATGAACAAGACATATCTGGTTACGAAGCAGCAGCTGATATAGAAAGTTTTACTATAATGCCTGCAGGTAAGATGATCAAAGTTGATAAAAAGGCAAATTCAAAATCAGGCAGTGCATTGAATAGTGTTGCAAAAGATGAAAATGCTTTTTCTCATTCAACAAATCTCTCATATAACAACAGACAAGGTGTAAATGGAAACATATCTCCAATTCGTCGACCAGTTGCACACAGTCCATGTGAGATATTAAGACCTGCCATACCAGGTGGAGATATTGCTACAACTTCCCCACCAAGGAGATCAGGCCTTTCTGAACAAGAACTCCTTCTTCTTGAAAGATTACAGAATACTCGTGCATCTGTAATGTATGAAGAAAATATTTCTGCTAAAAAGCAGTTCCAATCTTTATCAGACACTGATTTACCAGTACAGGAACCATCGTCTCAGGGAGCTTCTAGAAGTAATCGTCTCATGGAACAGCTTCAGGGAAAATTGTCGCCTCAGTATCATTTGGGTAACCAAGGTATCTCAAGATTAAATCCGTCTACTAAAGAATCATATTCTCCTGTACATTATATGCATGATCAAGAAAGTGGATGTGAAAGCAGTGGTACAGAAAGTCAGGGAAGTCCTATTTCTCCTACGTCATCACAAACTAACGCTAAACTACACAACTTATTACAAAAACTGAAACAACAACAATCGGTTTAGCTGAAAAAAATATTAGGAATTACCACTGAAAAAAAATAGCTGAAAAAAATATTAGGAATTACCACTGAAAAAAAATAGAAAAGTGAAAGCAAATTGATTATATGGAATATTTTACTTCCGGTAATTTTGTTATAATCATTGATCAGATTATAAAGATTTTTTAACCATTTTTTTGTAAAATGTTAGAAATGTTTTGTTTTTACTGAGCCTAAGTTGTAGTGCTGATGTTTTTTTGATGCCTTTTTCTTTACTAATTTTGTTGTTATAACATAATAACCACCATTGTGTTCATCAGTCGTCCTTATGTTCTGTTTAAATCTGGATATTCATTTATCATGGAAGAGAAGATCTTAATACTTACTGTGTGAGAAGTAAGGCTCCCACGTTTACATTTTTTTTGTTAACATTTACACGATTGTAAAGAACCGAAACGATACCGTTTAAACGGTGGTACTTCTATGTACTATACTACACCATGTATTCAAGCCTCCAAGTGATGACTTACTTTAGATTTTTAATGCATGTACAAATAAATAATGTTCAGGGCTCATCACGATTGAGTTGGCACACATTTTCTGCATTGTATTCCCATTTCGCTCTTTTGAGCAACAAAGGTAAACCAACTTTACCAAGAATGTATTATATCACGAGCGATTATTGCACGGTGATGCTGTCTAGAGGTTTGTAACCACCCATTTTCCGATTTTTACTTTGGAATAAATCAATTAGAATTAATAGAATTCATGATTACAGGTAATGATTAATATTTTTTGTAAGACAATATGGTCATTTCGATTAAACGGTAAAACATTTCATAAACGTTTACGAATGAAAATCGAAACGGATCCGTTTAAACAATTAACCGTGGGGGCCTTAGTGAGAAGAGATCCGAACTTGTTTATTATGCCACCAGTTTAGAAGTAACCCAGTCTACATCGTGCAATATTAGACCAGGCTCTTTACTGCTCTATACCTTGTATAATTAAATTTCCTGAAACTAATAATTGAATGATTCAAGGCCATACAAGTCTATCACACTTATTTGGTTAGTAGTTAAGATTATTAAAAAAAATGATATGAGTCGTGACATGACATTTCCAACATAATGGTCAAATGACGTAATCGTAGAAAGCGACGTCAAAGTTGACGCCAATTTTCTTAATGATATGACGCGTGCTTTACTAATCGCCAATGTGCAGTTTCAGGGAAAAAAATCTGATCGATCATTTTTCAGACATTCGCCAGAATAAGTTTTAAATCGATGTAATATGTATTTATTAACATGTCAATTGCAAACTGATAATATCGTCAGTGAACAGAACATGGTAAACATCGATAGACATATGCAAATGTCTGGCAATATACTTGTACTTTCAAATATCTCTTTATTTGTATAAAGTTACACTTAACGCATTGCGGTCAAGTATGCCTGGTTCGTTTTTGGCCTATTCATTTTTGCCTATTCATTCGGTTTAACCACAGCAGACATGTATTTACACAATTTTAGCATATTTCATGTCTGAAGTACACACAATTTTATTGTTCTACCATACATTTGGCTATACAGGGAATAATTGACAATTTGTATTCTGCTTTTATGGTGAAACCTGTTCATTTTGATTTAACGTTGTTGTTATCTTTAATGTATTATGTTTTGAAATGATATTCAAAAACAGATATTGAATAAAATATGTTTAATAAATTAAGAAGCCAATGTACTATCTCTCTAAACCAAAGCCCACTAAGCTACCTTTTCAGAATTACTGTTGCTTAAAGCAGGGCTTAAAGATTAAGCATAAATTTTATTTTGTCAATAGTTTGGGTTGTTATTTGAGATTAATAATAGCTATCATATGTTGCGATTCAGATCGGAATATCCATCCCCAGGGGACTCGCCCATCGGCAGGTTCCCGAGGAATGGATATTCCAATCCGAAAAGTAAACATATGTTAGATATTTTTTCTTTCATATTCTTCTATATTCTTTCATATTTTAAATTCTTGACCTTAAAACAATTTTCCATGGAAATTTATGTCATTAAACCTGTAACTATTTTTGTAATGCAGCATATGAAATTACAACTTGATTCACAACGGCGAAATAACGTCGTCCTATGCATGCCATTGTATAGCACAAGTCTCATCTGGCACCCCCATGACAGATGAATTTTCCGGCATGAGTAAAATTATCGGAAACACCTGTCTGATATGCAAAAAATACTCTGTCAAAGTGTTGTAATAGTTGATGCTTATAAATGAATGTCTGGGTTTCTATTTAGTGATACAGTGCCCTCCAAAAGTCCTTGGACAAACTATTTTTGGTGTTGTTTACACAATTAAAGTAATGTAAAACATAAATCAAAAGTGAAATGATGATCAATTTAGTAAAAGTATTTATTTAGTTTTGTATAATCAGAAAAAACATTTAACATCTCAGTATAACACATAAACAACAAGTAAATTTGAAAACAGTGAACATCAACGTGATGCAAATTATGAAAGTAGTGATCTACTTCAGTACTTTGTGTGACCTCCTCTGGCCCTTATTACAGCTTGAATCCTTCGTGATATGCTTCTTACAAGTCTTTCACATGATTCAGAACGTACTGATTCCCAAACAGTTTTCACATTTTGTTCCAGCTCACGGAGATTATGGCTGTGTTTATTTCTGAGTTCAATTTTCACAATCTGCCACAAATTTTCATTGTAGTTAAGATCAGGTGACTGAGGAGGCCATTTTAAACACTTAAATTCATTCTCCTCTTTCCACTGTTCAACAATTCTAGCTCTGTGGCAGGTAGCACCATCATCCTGGAAGATGAAGTTGTTACCATATCCCAACAAATGCGCCGAAGGTATAGCAAAGTCCTCAAGAATCTTGATTTATCCTTGTGAATTAAGTCGGCCATCAACACCAGACAGAATTCCAGTGCCCATATAACTCATTGCTCCCCACACCATCACACTACCACCCACAAATTTTACAGTTAGGGTAACACAGTCATCTCTTAATTGTTCACCTGAACGTCTGCGAACATAAACACGCCCATCACTTTGGAATAAATTAAATTTAGACTCATCTGAGAACATCACAGTCGACCAATCAACCCAAGACCAATCAGCATGCTCTCTGGCAAAGTTCAAACGGAGTTGCCTGTGTCTTGGTGAAAGCAAAGGCTTCTTTACAGCCAAATGACCATGAAGTCCTGCCTCATGTAGACGACGTCTCACTGTTGTTGCAGAAGCAAACACATGTGAGGTTTGCCAATCTCGTCGCAGCTCATTCACTGTTGCGTTCCTGTTTTGCAGTGAAGGTCGCACTAATAGTCGGTCATCTCTTTTGTCTGAAACTTTTGGCCTCCCTGTCCTAGCACGATCTTTGTGGGTACCAGTGGCCTCGTACCGTTTCAAAGTGTAGTAGACTGTTGACCTGAAGTAAACAAAGACAGATTAGAAAATAAAATTAAAACAGCAAGATTAATAACATATAGCAGTAAAAGAAAAAGCACAATTTGATTAAAATTTTGAACAAGAAAACATTTTAGAAAAAGCTAATCTCTTACCTTGGTCGATCCATCTGAATGGCGATATCCGCTACTGAGACTCCCTGCTCCCTCATAATCTGGCATCGTTATCTTTCATTTTGAATAGGAGTTGACTTACAGTTTTCATATTTTCAATATAAAACACACTTTTGATGCAAAACATGGAGGAAACCTTTCTTATAAGAATCTTAATTTTATTGTTTGAAATTTCATATCTTTATTAGAGAAAGTAAAATAATAAATATCTCATTTATTAAAGCACTCATATTGCTGAATTTTTATTAAATGCTTTTTTATTTACCCCCTTTTAATTCTACCCATGAACAGAACCAAATATTGTATAAACTATTAACAGATGAAACAAATTATGCCAGTGAAAGATAAAATTTAAGTATGTCCAAGGACTTTTGGAGGGCACTGTATAAAACATGTATTACTCAGAGTATATGGCTCATTGTGTTGTTAACATAGCTTTGCCGATTTTATTTTTGTGGCCTACGTATTAATTTATGATTCTGTAAATTTCCTTATAAATGTATTGTGTATCTTGTTCTTCAAAGCATATTTCTCGATTCAATGACAATTACTGCACTTAAGTAATATTTTTCCCCACCGCAATGATGGCGTTATTCTTCAGTTAAACTAGTTTTTTTTAGTAACAACTGCGCTGTTAAACTTTTTCAGCTAACCTTCAACCCCTGACAGACACTCGCTCAGTCGTATTTTAAGTACCTTAAGAAAGAGAATTTCAAGGAAATTTATGAGTTGACAAATCAAATTTCATCTGTTCAAACAACATTTGATATATTGTCCTTTCAATAAGGAACACTTTCAGGCTTTACTTACTTCAAGTAATTGAACAATAATCACACTTATTCTTGCGGTTGTTATTTTATTTCCAATGTCAAGATGTTTTCCAAGTATTTCTAGTTATCCAAATATATAGTAACATGTGGGGGCTGATATACATTGTATAAATCAGAATAAACACTTTAATTTAAATAGAACATCACGTGGGTATCACTGTTTAATTTAATGGACACTAAATAATAAGAGTATATAATTGAAAGACAATTGTTCTGTTAAGTGGATGTGTGTATGACACTTCAAGTTGTTGAAATCCTGTCCTGCTTTATATAAAATTAAAGGGAAAAAAATCAACTGAAATAATTTTGTCTTGTTTTATAATTATTATTGCTGTGAGACTCAATTTATTGAAAATGCCAGATTTGGTCACAAGTTTCTCTGAGAATATGACATTGTAAGTTCAGGGCTCTCATTAGCATTTTGAGACTGGGGCCAGGGTCCATGCCGGGGGAGGGGGGATTTCTTATGATTTTCAAATATTTTTGATTCAATGGGGAATTTCAACAGAAGAAAATTAATTCACGAAGTGGTTAAGGTGAGGTATAGTGAAAAAAGTAAAATGTCAAATTTGACCACTATGTTGGAAATGTGAGTGGTATTCACTTTTTTAAAGCATTGTTTTCTTCATTATTGTTTGTGTCAGCTTTAAAGAGATCTCATATATACCACCTTAAGCTGATCAGGTGAAACAAAAGTTATAAGCCATTATCACCAGTATAACTCTGGAATGGTGAACAGGCTTCCTTTACATTTTGTAAGCTATTTCCAAGGTTTCTTATAACAACTATAAGTAATTTGTATCATATAAACAACCAATATATAGCAAACATAATTATATAACAAACAATAATACACATGTATTGCTGTTGTCATATTATCGAGGCCCATCTGTACATCCTTGCAGTCTAACAAGACTCTTAACTGATGGGACAAATCTATTACACAGTTATTTATAG